TGGCACCGGGATAGCTTATCTAAACCCCAACTATCTAGCACAGAAGTTGGGGTGGTACACCTCCAGCCCACGCTCATAGCGGTCACTCCTTACTCCCCAAGCTAGGTCCCTTGATTGAATACAACTAATAAATCTCTCTTTGCAGAAGGCATTAGCGTCTTCTCCAAAGGCATCTTAAAAGGCTTAGTCAGAGAACCAAGGATACCTCTTAAGAACTGAAGCTCCACACTCCAAGTCCTCCTAAATCCTGCAGACTCTAAAGAAATAGAGACAAGGGAATGTAGAGTGATTGGTTGAAGAAGCTTTAGCTAGAATTCGAGCAAGAGCAACACCCTCGGGGAATTCAAGGCTGAAAGCCCGAAGCTTGGGGAAATACCATTGAAGCTAAAGTTGAATCATCCAAGTTAGACCATTAAGGTTAGTTTCAAATGGTTCACCTTTGGTAATTTCATACAGGAGATGATAGAGATGAGCAAGGAGAAAGAGGCCCGCTGCCACTTCATCAAAGTTATGCAGAGCTTCCACTAGAAGGATCTATTTAACTTTCACTCCCTTGGACTTAAGAAAGTAAGAGCGTACTCGAAAGGTTTTGAGAATACTGAGAGTTCTGGAAATTTGAGGGTTTGAAATTGCTAAGGTAGTTGGCCGAGGAATTTAAGTAGGGATTATACAGTAGTGGCTGGTTAAACGATAAACAATGACTATTTTAAATGGTGCAAGTCACGAGTAAAGACGTGCAATGGCTGTTTAATCATTATTAGTGTCTTAGGTTGCAGACTTAACAATGATTAAAGGGGGCACTGTTTGGGTTAATATTTGAATAATAGACTTGGATGAAGGAAAGCCCAAGGGTGCCAAATTAAAGGAGACTTGCCTGAAGCCCAATACCGAGCCCAAAAGCCAATTGAAGCTTTCTCAGCCAAGGAACAAGCCATATGTACATTGTAGAAGTGACAAGTGATGAAGACCAGCCTACTACTAGCCAAAAAGCATTTTCCAGTGGCACTCAAGTAAAAAGGGTGATGACTCACTACCCTCCAAATACTTTCGGGCAAGAGTAAAGTCACAGCAGTCGGGCTAAATTGCCTATAAAAGGAAGAAGAGACAACGGGGGCGATGACACTCAATCAATCAAACAAACAAACATACAAACTCTGCTCTCAAGCCAGATTTGCATTCAAAAGTTGAAATCAACCCAGATTCAGTCATTTTTAGCAACAAGCTATCTCTTTTACATTTTAAAGCTCTGTTATCTCCTTTAGTGGCGTAGTATCGCTTCCCTTGTGTAAACTTGTTTACCATCCATCCCTTTTTAGCATATAAACCCCGGTTAATTCAGAGATAAGAGATTGCAAGAGGTTCAACCTTGCCAGACAAGGTGAAATCTTGCTCGAGACTCTTTGTCTGTTTCCTAAGTCTATAGATCTATTACTTGATGCATTCTCCAGTATGTATTCAAGTTACTTTCATCAATTTTCCTACTTTAAGAGTTCCATTTGCATCTGGATCTAATTAGTTTAATGGATATGTTATCATTAAAATCAATCAAGAACCAAGTAAATGGTTTAAAGGGACTTTGACTCCTTTCATTTAAGCATACAAGACTATGAACTAAAAGTCCTTGTTTACAAGGCAAGAAAAAGAACTTAATGTGGAATTAACTTATCCATGACAATCCTTTGATAATAAGAAGTCTGAGTAACTTGGGGCGCAAGTAATCGACTTAAACAGACTTGTTCTACATCTGCTATACTGAGATAGCAGTAGCACGCCTAGCACTTAGTTAGTTTTGATTGCAAACCTCAAGGCCTACACCTAAGGCCCCACAAAGGCACATTTCAGAACTAACTTTGTCCTCTTCTTGTAGCACATCGACAAGCAAGAGCCTGACTATATATCCAAAGTGCCAATCCCTTAGGGAGCTGTGCTGAGGACCGAGGATCCTTCTCCAGAGAAATCTTCGCCAAAACAACAATAATGTGGAGGTTCACCGACGGTGCAAAAGAAAGAAGCGAACAAGGCAGCAACAACAATGAACATTAATCTGCTTTCTTTTCCAGACCCCAGAGATTTGGAAGAAACCCAACAGCGACAATCTTGATAAATGCATAGCTCGACCCAAGAACCGTATAAGTACGTCTACATTTGTTTCCCTATCCAAATTTGTCAATTTCGGTAATTTAATGTTTGAATTTCTTAACATTTTTATCATTTCCAACAGGGACAGGATCGAAAACAAATGGTTATCTGCTTGTTCATGCCCATGGCGGATTGAATCAGATGAGAACAGGGGTAAGTACAAATCGTGTGCTCGAATCTCCTTTCCCATAATTTAGAGCAGTTTACAATATCGCCTTGTCAAAAAAGTAAATTTTAGACACGTTCTGGAAGCTGACATGGCAACCCAATTGATGGTCACATATGTGATATGGTAGCCGTTGCAAAGATAATGAATGCTACCCTGGTTCTTCCACTGATGGACCATCAATCTTTTTGGACGGATCCAAGGTTAGATTTTCTTAGCAAATGATGAGGTTGTCGGATAGTATTTAGGAGTGGCTAACTGGCTAATTAATTTTGTTTTATTATGTTTAATTGAACTCTGTCATGTATTTTGCAGTGATTTTACAGACATTTTTGACTGGAGACACTTCATGAAAGTATTGAAAGATGATATTGATATTATCGAGTATTTGCCAACCAAATATGCAGCTGTGAAGCCTGTTGTGAAGGCTCCCGTCTCCTGGTCGAAGGTGCGATCCGTGTTAATAAATTTTCAGATGCGTAGGGACTTTCGAATTGGTTTTGTTCTTCGAATTGTATCTAAAGATGATTCGTGTGCAGGCGAGCTATTACAGAAGCGAGATGATCCCCTTGCTGAAAAAACACTAGGTTATAAAGTTTACGCACACTGATTCTCGGCTTGCTAACAACGGACTAGCGTCCACCATCCAAAAGCTGAGGTGCCGTGTGAATTATGAGGCTCTCCAGCACGCGAAAGAGATTGAGGATCTTGGGAGAGTTTTGGTTGACAGACTGAGGAACAATAGCAATCTGTATATTGCTCTTCATTTGAGGTACTTTTGTTGTTTTGGTTGATAATTTGGGTGTTGTGTAGTTTCGGAAATAGTGGAACTAAGTAAAGAAACTCTTCTTGATTGCAGATATGAAAAAGACATGCTCGCTTTCATTGGCTGCAGCGACAACCTCACTGCTGAGAAATCTGAGGAGCTTCGGGTTATGAGGTACAGTCAAACATTGGAAGGAGAAGGAGATCGATAGTGTAGAACGAAGGCTCCAAGGCGGATGCCTATTTTCCCCACGAGAAGCAGCCTTGTTCCTAAAAGCCATGGGATACCCTTCCACAACAACAATCTACATTGTTGCTGGCGAGATATATGGTAGCAACAGCATGGCTGCTTTTCGCACTGAGTATCCAAATGTCTTCTCTCATAACACTCCTGCAACAGAAAAAGAGCTGGAGCCCTTCAAGCCTTACCAAAATCGGCTTGCAGCCTTGGATTATATTGTACCAATGGAGAGTGATGCCTTTGTTTATACGTATGATGGAAATATGGCCAAGGCGGTGCAGGGACATAGGAGATTTGAAGGGTTCCGGAAGACTATCAACCCTGACAGGTTCGCTTTCATACCAGGCATTTAGTATTTTGCTCCTCAAATTCCCAACCTTTTGGTTGGAAGATTTATCATGAACTAGTTTTCTGACATGTTATGATTTTCATTTCAGACAAAATTTTGTTCAACTTGTCTATCTGTTGGATAAGGGAGCAATATCATGGGAACTTCTTTCGTCTGCGGTTAAAAATCTGCATTCTGACAGGCTTGGAGCACCATATGCTAGACAGATCGGTGAGTCACCAAGGTTGGAGGAGAACTTTTATGCAAATCCCTTTCCCGGTTGCATCTGTAACAAGACGCAGGAGCAAATATCTAGGGTGAAGTTTGATGAGAGACGAAGTAGGACTGTTTCATCGCAAAGATGATGAAGTCGGACAAATGCATGTGGCTAGCTGAAGCCGTAGAAAATACTACACAATACCACTGCTCAAAATGGCAGCCCGAATTGGTGGGCTTTTGAAAGAAGTGCTTTTTTCTCTCGGTCTCAGAGATTGTGCTTGCTGTACAGGGTCAAAAATTTGTGATTCGCAATGCAAGTTTCGGTTTATGATGAAATCAAATTGACAAGGCATTTGAAATTGCAGAGAAGGCGGAGCTCGAGTATAGTTTTAGGATAAATTTCGGGTAGTTTGATTAGCACAGAGACCTCTTGCCGTTGTCAGAAATGGAGCTGCTATAGTAATTCATTGATTCAATTATTTTTTTTCTTTGATTTGGTCTTAAAAAAAAAAAGAGATCCGCGATGAATTTGAAAGTAATTTTTTCTTACACAACCTCCAATTGAAAAAAGTTTCATACATTTCAAGTGGATTTTTCACTTGTCGTTGTCCTGCAGGCAATTTATTGAAACTAACTAGGACATATTGGAGAAAGGCCCCCAGCCTTACTCGAGTGAGGAGATTCAAGCAGCTCTGGTCTAACGGTACTCTTTTCGCTAATAATGAAAGCGGAGGTTTCAAATTCAAATTCTTCCTCTTCTTCTTCTTCTTGAGGAGTTTCTTCTTCTTCTTTGCCTACTGGAAATAGAATAGCTTTGCCTGCGAAATTCATCCCCGTGCTAAAAAAAAATCAAGCTCATAGTGAGGCACGGGATGATCCGCAGGTGGAACTACTTGCTTTCTTTGTGATTATTGTTTGTAGGAGGGAAACCTCGATAGAGTTACTCTACTAGCGCATTTATCACATTGGATGAGACCAATAAGGAGCCACACGTGAGTAAAATACAAGAGTTTAATGCTTTTGTGAGAGCTGCCCTACAATTGACGTGATCCAGGCACCCGTACACAAGTTTTTCTCCTTGATTAGATGGGGGCTCCTTTTGCTTGGGTGCGCTATACAGTACGAGGATTATGAGGAATATATTTGCTCCAAAAGCAATTCCCATTTCTAAAGCCCATGTGTATTTGGTTTCTGCTACAATTGCAAGAGTAATGTGAATTCAAATGCTAGACTAGTGTACGCTGGATACAATCTTTCTTCTTACATATTCTTCCTACATTGACAAAATTTTCAACGCTAACGAGATCATACGATACGATGAACAATTTTGTACACTACTACCACATCGAAGGCACATAAACCTGCTCCTTCAGATTTTGAGTAGCGCTTTCCGTCGGAAAACCTCGAACAGCACCGATCGTCCACTGCGATATAATTGCTGCTGCAACTGCAAATCGAAGTTCCCTTTCCAAAACATCTTGGTCTTCATACATCTCGGGGTGAGTTGTCAGCTTTCGCATGATAGCAGCTACAACTGCATCTCTAGAACCAGTTCTATCACAAGTGAATGGGGTTATGAGCACAGCTTCCGTTCCAATCACAACACCGTGAAACGAAGGAGAATAGTAATGAATTGGAAGAGTTCCATCCGTCACAAACAGGAACTTAAGTCCTTTATGCCATAACGAAGATATTTCCTCAGGCGTGTAATAGTAATAATCTCTCCGCTTCTTGGTTTGCTCAAACTCCTCAGCATAATAGTGGGGCCTGTAGTTCCTCTTCCTCGCATAGTTGTCTTCATCAAGAAGGAATTCCAATTCCTGCCTCGAAAACTTGATAATATCAGCTTCGTTCCAGGCTCTGTCGATGTACTTCCTCGTTTCATCGCGCGATTTCCACAGAGGCAACGACAGATTCACATTGAAAAACACAGGACCTCCAAACTTTTTGGAAGAAGACATTGCTGCGAATAAGGTCGGTCGCATTGAGGGGGGTGTCAAAACTTCTGAAGTGAAGTGGAATACTCTAGCCTGCATTAAGACATCAAAATGTATTATACTAATGATCTCACCCCTTTTCAACAACATAAGAATTCATACCAACAACAATATGACTGTGCGGAAATCACTTCCTTGTGATGAAACGATGTGCTCAAACGAACCATTGATGCACTCTCAATTAATTGTATACTAAAGCTTTAGCACTATCCTTTATTTTTAGAAGGATAAAAGTGTTATTGACCATCAAAAACATTCTAGATACTAAAGTACGAAATTAATGAAATGGAGCAATATTAGGACATGTAACAAGAGCACAGATAGTGTATGAGCTTTAGTGAAGAGTACAAGGAGCATTGCTAAAAGTAAAACATTGTTTTATGAACAAGCACAAACAAATTTAACGTGTTTCTAATTAAATCATTTAAAATGTTTCGTGTTTACTCGCTTAGTAATCTCAAAATGGCTTAAATGTCAAAACAGATAAATTTAGATGGGCTGGACGGTTGTGGGGAACATGTTATTGTTTGGGGTGGGCCAAGCCCAGGACAACACAAATAGATTAAACCAGGGACAGTCTTTAAGGTTAAGTCCAATCACACCCTTATAAATATTATCCCTCTTTCTCTCTCGTCTTTCTCTCTCGTCTTCTTTTTCTTTCTGTCTCCATCTTCTTCAATCCAAGCTTGATTAAATTTTGTGTTTCTATGTAATCTTTTCCGATAATTATTTTTAACATTTTCATGTCAATTATTTAGCAAAAATTTATTTGTTTTGGGTACACAATTTCTCTTTTTTTTTTTTTTTTTTTTTTTTTAACCTTTTTAATTCTTTGATAATATTGAAATATATTGGAAAGGAGCATCGGTGATGAATCTTAGAAACGTTATCCTTGCACTATGATTGCCTGTGAAGAAAACTATGGGGAATATAAATCTGAGATGCTTTTTCTTTTCAATTTGTTTTTATTTTAATTATATGTTTTTGTGTATATCTGTGGATCAATGATGTTACTTAAATCTGCGTTATCTTTCTGCAACTTCTCTCGACCTCGAGGGATTTGAAGATAATTTCAAGTCACTGAGATCTTATTTTCACTCTTTTATTCCTCTGATCTGATAGTACGAATATCTTTTGCTTAATTAGCAAGTGAACCCCATCCCAGCCGACCCAAAAACCTAATCAAATCAAGGGAAAAGAAAGAGATTCAAATCTGTATGAAAATTTTACTCAAATTTAGAGATTGGTTCATCCTTCGTTTGTATTGCAATTTTCTGAAGCGTGTAATGAATTTTTATGAATTAAAATGAATTGGGCATCTACTATTTTTGCTCCGATTTCAGAAAATTTTAATAAATAGCTTCAAAATCAAATTTCAATTTCTCTGCGATTCAATTCATCTCCTACAAATTAGCCAAGAGTTTGTGGGAGAAGTGGGTTTTTTTGGGTTTTTCAAATTTATTTTTATTTGTAGCTTATGTCGTTTCCCCCATTGGACATATTTACCGCATTGAAGTGAACATGGGTGTTGAAGGGTTATTATAAGAAATTTTGGTTAACAAACAGTTTTTTAACGCATAAAACTGATAGATCATCAAAGAATAGTATGATCCACTCGCAATGGGTTTGAGATTATAGAATGAGGATTCCCTTTAAATCCTCTTTGGAAGGATCATAGGGATTCTTCAATCACATTCGTTTATCGTGCTAGTTTTTATCAAGTATTGATTATATTTAAATTTAAATATAAAAAAATTTATAATAATTTCTGACGGCACGATATACGATGAACGAATATGATTGAAGGATCTTCAGAATCCCCCCAAAGAGAATCCTCATTCGAGATTATGAAGCTAGATAGTTGTTCACCCTAACCAGAGATACATATATATATATATATATATATATATATATATGTTCTTTATGCAAATGGATTCTAATTTTTTTTCAAAAAATAGAAATTAGGTGTAGGGTCATTGAACTTCAACGATCCGAATCACCTATTTTGTAAGTCTCGATTCGTAGATCATTCTTGCAAGATTCAATTCAATCCGAAATCATTTGATTATTTAATTATCAAGATAAAATTTAATTGTTTCTTATATAACAACGTATTCGTTAATTTTTTTTAACCCAATTAGATGTTTAAATATTTCTGATTTGGCTAATATTTTGAAATGATGATCTAAGAGGTGCAACTTGAAAAATAGACGATTTAAATCGTTAAAGTTCGATATGATTTGAACCCCTTAACTAATTCTCATTTTTATAAAAATAAATAAATAAACAATAGGAATCCCTTCCGTTAAATGTTTGGGCAATCAAAATGACACTTTTGTTCCCTTTATGCCCTCACTTATTTTTTTTTATTTTCAAGACTATCCTTTATAAACCAATATGCATAACTCCTTACTTTTTCTTTTTGTTTTAAAGAAAACTAATGAAAAGAGCTTGAAAACTTTGAGTTTTAACGATAAAAACAAAATAAAGGATAAAATGAATAGTACCAGGAATGATTTTTTAGTGTAAAAATGTGGTTTTTCGTTAAAGTAAACAGTACAGGTAACTTTTCGTTAAAGTTCCCTTTTTTATTTCCATGCTCATTCACACTATGCACAACTCAATGCTCATTCACATTATGCACAATTTCATGCATATGCCGAAGACAAGAAACTATAACTTGAGCAAGAAAATTTAAATATTAAAGTAAATACTTAAATTTAAAAATAAAAAAAAACAAAAGCATTTTAATGTGTCAATGAAATAAAAAAAGCAATTTAATTTTTTTCTTACTATTATATATTATATCAAATTTTATTAAAAATATATATATATAATATTTGATTTTGGACAAGGCCATTTTAGTAATCATACTGGTTTGTATTCCTATTCTGCTGAATTAGTAAACATCTTTATAAAATTAGTGTCATTTCTATTCCGATTCCAAAACATTTAAGTAAACAGCTTCAACAGAAATCCGATTCTGACTTCTTCCCATTTCAACTCCTCCTCAATTCAATTCCTCTTATTTTCATTACGATTACGTAAAGGCGCCATTAGTTCTTCTAATTTTAATCTTCGCAATACTTTTTGGGATATGCTATCTACACACCCCATTTTACTTCTCATACACTCCTTGATAATTTCTGTCAGTTGATCTTCTTTAATTCATCCGATCTGACGGCCAAAAATTAAAAAGGTATGTGAAAAGTAAAATGAAGTGTGTGGATATCACACCCCTACTTTTTTTTCTTCCTGACCTTCCTAAAATCTTTTGTCTATTGAGCGTTTTACACAGGATAATTGAGTGTTATTTGTCTTTGCTCCTCATTTTTAATCAAATGTATGACTTAGTTACTGGCGTGTCACTTTTTTAGGGTCCTGTAAAAATGGGCTTTATCCCTTGTCTTTGTCCTCAACAATTTCTACCATCCTTCAAGCCTATGCAGCTATCTCTACCACAACTTGGCATCAACGTCTTGGTCATCTGTCATCATTGGTCATGTCTCGTCTTTGTTCTAGTCTCGATCCTACTGTCAAGGTCGATAAATCCTTTTGTATGAATTGTGCCCTTAGCAAGTTCATTCAATTACCTTTTATTCCAATCATCATTCGTGGTTCTTCCCTTTTTTATATTATTCATTCTAATGTGTGGATGTCTCCGGTTACTTCTGTCAATGGTTTTTGTTATTATGTACTTTTGACTAACAAATTTTCCCATTATTCTTAGATTTATCATGTGAAACAAAAATATGAGGTCTTTGATCACTTTAAAAATTTTGTTGCCATAATTCATAACATGTTTCGTGTTATGGTACTCCAAAATGACAATGGTACTGAATATGTCAATCAATCTTTTTTTACCTTTTGTCATGAACATGACATTGAATAACGTTGTACTTGCAGCCACACTCCACAACAAAATGGCATTGCCACCCTTATTCGTTCCATTCTCCAGACAATCGGCTTACCTCACACATTGTGCCTCTTACCTTTTTAATATCCTTCCCACACCCGATTGGATCACTCCTTATCGGGTTCTTTTGGTTATCCTCCCACTTATTCTCACCTTTGTGTTTTTGGTTGTCTTAATTTGTTTTCCTCAGCTTGAACTGTATTGTGGTTTTGGTTGTATTTGTTTTTCTCATCTTGAACCGTATGTTGCTTACAAGTTAGAGGATCGTTCTAAACCCTGTGTCCTTCTATATTATAGTCCTCTAACCTACTTGTGTAAAAAATGTTGATATTCGTCACTGATTGTTCTGCAACATGTCGCTATATCTCCAATGTGATTGTTGATTATTTGCTTGAAGTTTTCACCATTGTTTTTGGAATTGGTTGATTCTTAATACTTCATAATGTTTACTTGATTGATTGATCTCTCCTTGTAAGTTGTTATCTCGTTATTCTTCTTCTTAGTTTGACACTGCACCAAACTCTTTACTAAGTCAGCCCAGTTTAATCCTGAAATTAGTCCAGTCCAAAATAATCAAATGCAACAAACGCACTCTAAGCCTAATGTTAAAAAATTAATTCACGAGGAATTAGAATTCTGTACGAAAAATATCCTCTGTTTTCATTGAAAATAAAAGTATTTTAATGGTCTTTTTTTGTGAATAAAGAATTACTTTTGCCGGATGTACACGGATTGGGAGATTATGAGCCTAGTGATATAGAGAATGTTGAACCTGAGATTACAGCTTGTGCTTCATTTCCAGATTTCAAGCCTTGGACTCGAGGCTCCTTTCATGGAGGGGGTATGGATATGATGCCAAGTGGCATCATCCTAACAGTACATGTGTCAATTGTTTGTAACAGATTTGGTTGAGCTATTGGGTTTGTAGTTTTATTAGTTATTACAAGGGTGTAGAAGAAAGGTTGGTGGTTGTATAAGTCGTTCAGTTTAATAAAAGTTACCATTCTTTACATTTGAGTGAAAGTTGAAGAGAGATCCTATCAGGAGCAACTTAATGAAACTAACAAGATTAACAATTACCGTTTTGAATTTCACATTTCAATGAAACAGAGACGTCAAGGTGTTATTTTCACAAATTAATCATGACTTCACATTATACAGAAAAATTAAAAAGTTAGGCAGCACACGTGATAAATTTGGAACACTGCCATATTGACGCCTCGTACTATATAATCACTCTTAGGCCTCATTTGGCATGGCAGCACTGATTATTTCAATCGGATAGGATAATTTGTACATCGGATAGTATTGATTAAATTAGTCGGGCGTTTAGTGTAGAATCAGACTAAAAACTGACCATGCAATAATGCATTATATTTTAGGGAACTTTAACGAAAAGTTACAAGTATTGTTCATTTTAACAAAAAACCATATTTTTACACTAAAAAGTCAATCCTGGTACCATTCACTTTACCCTTTATTTTGTCCTTATCGTTAAAACTCAAAATTTTCAAGTCTTTTTCATTAGTTTTCCTTATATTTTATGAAAGGCAATGTCAAAAATTGTAAATAAAATGAAAAAAAGAAAGGAAAAAAATCGATAGAATAATGAGAGTTTTAATGAAAATGGCCTAACACTATTCATTCTTAACCAAAAGGACATTTTGTGTATGAAAAGTCCGTAATGGATCAAGCTCTTTTTTTTATTTACTCTTATACCGTTATGTTATTATTGTAGCGAGGTCCACAATGATGTTGACATTTCTGTCTGGAAATGCATTATTTTACATAATACTATTCAACTTATGCTAATTTGCTGCCAACTCTTCATGCTTCCATCAAGTTGTTGATGTTATGTAGCTCTTCTTCTGTCAAATTATTCCAGTACTATTGATCACCTTCTACTTACTTTGCATCTCTTTCTCTATCTTCTTTCATCTTGTAATACATATCTTCTATTTCTCCTTTAAAATTTTGAGGCTTCCAGTATGGCTGATGACGGGCTTTCGACTTGCTGTAAATATGCATTTCTTATTCTTCTGCTACTAATATCATATCATACCTAAAATCTTCAAACTCATCTAAGACAAACATTTTGATCCCTCGAAATTTTAGGATATTTTTGTATGAAGGAGTCCACCTATGTGGAGAGATAGGGGATAGTCTAAAGGACTCTTCATTAATCATGGCTATATGCTTAGCTTTCTTCTTATGTATATGTCCATATCAATCTGAATGACTACTAATAAAATTTATGCAAATTTCCTTCCACTTTTCTAGATAATCTTCTGCCACTTTTATAAGTTTTTTCAGGAAATAATTCTAGTTGGGAAATATGGTTAATGAATATTTCATCAAGATAACCAAACTCTAATAGTAAAGCAGGGGTAACTTCTACCACATTATGCTTTTTCTGATGCTCATAGCTAAAATATCATGGTCTAAAATCTCTCATGTTAATCCTGATCACAGTTATGCTAAGCTCTGATTTACAAATACAATTCTATGTACTATCACAAAAACATGGTGCATACATCTTTGTAATAATATTCATCCCTAGTTTTGGATCAAAGATTAACTGATACAAAGCACATTGTAATTGTAATTATAATTCTTTCATGGACTGTGATACTCTGCTCAGGATTTCATTTTGCATGTTTGGTGGCATTATTCTTAATTTTGCTTTTGAAATTTCTTCTAATAAAATATCATCTAATATTAAGTCTAAAGGTAAATTCCTAAAAAAACTTTCATATTTTTCTTGTTTTTCTTTGTCACCCAGATGCTGATGCTGCTCATTATTTTCATGTTGCTCCATTTCAATGTTTTCTTCTAAGAGTTCAATCTTAATCTCTTCTATGGGCTCATTAGCCTCTTGTTCTATGGGTTCAATAACCTTTTTCCTTTATTCTTATGCTGATCAGTTTCCAAACCTATTTTCAATTCTCTTTTCAGGGTATCACTTGCCTTCTCCTGCATTCTAAGATATTGGAGTTCTTGGTTCATTTGGGTAAACTTACTAAGTAATGACTCATGTTTTTTAGAAATGACTTGAAGGTTGTGCTCAAGAGAATGAATATGATGCTGACTTTGATGGAAATTGAAATTAAAACTATCAAACTCTTGTTCTAAGGTTCTAATTAGTTTTTCATGACCTAACCTCATGATTGGCTGTTTGATTTGGATGTTCCAAAAATTATCTAAGAGAACATGTTGCTTATCAGAGAGTTTTGGTACCCTTGTCCCATACCTCAGAATTGGATTTCTGATTCCTTCAACAATATTGCCATTAAAATTGAAAGTGGGTACTGGTGGTGATGTTGGTCTGCTTATACTATTTTGGAATCCATTGAATGGTGGAGGTCCATGGTGTATCATTATGCTATTGAAAGGTGCTATTCTGCCTTGTGATATTGTGCTATTTGAGGATGATGGTCCACGATATTCCATTCATGTTCAAAGAATTAATCTTTATAAGATATCAGTTAATGTATTGTCATTACCTTTTATATGTTCAAAAATTGGTTTAAAACCATCTCCTATAATTGAATCAACAAAATTAACTCATCTTCAAGCTGCCTGTTTATTAGCATGTATTTTGTTATAATGAGAAACTATATTTTGACAATCTGTTCTAATCATAAATACTTGATTATGTAAAAATAAAGAGAATGCTTCAAGTGAGTTAATTATTCCTAAAATTTCGAAGTCTGTTGATAGTAATCTTGACTGTACATCACTAAATTTTCCTGATGAATATCTACAAACTTGTTCGTCAGACTTTGGTGAATCCTTATGCCTTTTCTAGTATAGTATACCTGCCCATCCTAATGATGAAGCATATGTTTCAACTATTTTGTAACTATTATCTAATGGTAATGTTAATGGCTTAAGTTTAGTAATTTCTTCCTTTATATTTTGAACTAATTTAATATCTTCACTATTAGAATCAAGCGCAGACGGTGAGATCCCGGTCCAAATTCTAGTGAAAAGGCGACTTGCAGGTCGTCGGGCAGATCCTGTCAAGGAAATCGATTAATTGAATTTACATCGTGGTGGATCGTCGCAACCGCAGAAATTGAGCCAAGAAGTTTCATCTTCCAACCCAAATTAATTTCACATAGTTTAAATTTTTTTTCTAACCCTAATTAATTTCACATAATTTAAATTCTGGGGTTCAAAACCTTAATTTTGAAAGGAACTGTAACTTCACCAAAAATTTAGAGCAAAACAGAAAGAAGAAGAAGAATAAATCTTGATGGAGGCGACAGCTGAACGACGGTAACGGGAATGAGTCTTGTGCATGATGCAAGAGAGAGGGACGCGATGGGAGAGAGAGGGAGAACACAACGTGGTTTTCCTACCCGACTAATAATACAAAGGTTTTGGGTTGGATAATTTAGCAGGTGTATACCGTATAAGGATGTGGGTCTAGTTTAATTTATCCGGGTACTATTTAGTGCAAAACTACGCCAACACTTGGGTCCGTACTATTTATCCTATCCGGTTCGCAATATGGCTTGCCAAACAAGGCCTTATAAAAGAGAATTGGTTTAAACACATTTCTTTTCTCTTCCTGCACAACTCTTTTTATTTTATTCAATCAAAAAACTAAAATTAAATACAAGTGTGTTTTCATAAAAAAACCAATCAACAATATGAGAAATAATTCAACTACTTATAAATGTATAAATATTCAAATATTTATACCTAAACGAAGCATTATTGAATTATATATATATTTAGAGAAATATCTTTGTTAATTAAAGGGTATGAAATGTCAATGGTAACTAACCAACCATATTACCAGTAACTTCCAACGTAATGGGTAGTTCTTACATTACGATAACGCTTGTTATACATATGAACATATATAAATAGAATATTGGTAATACTATATAACAATGTTATAGTCACACCAGGTAGACATGAAGGAAGTTATATGGTTATAACTTATAATATAATACCTCAGCTGCTAGCTCCCTCCTTTTCCCTCCACAAACACACTCCTCAAAACTCGTAACGCGATTCTCTTAAAACGGCATATCAGCAAAGACCCGGTCTCTCTCTCTCTCAAAAACCATCTGTTCCTTCTAACTAATTGGAGTAAAAAAACACCCCCCATCTCATTAGGCATTCGATCACAGCCTTCTTCGTGTACCAATAACAATGTCTCCCACCATTTCATCCAGTTCTTTGGGCACACTTCTGCCCTTTCCAATTCAATGGAGGCATATTACATTACTATTTTCCTGAGAAACCATTTCATTTCGCTACATTGTATACGACGGTGATCGAAAATTGTAAAAAGGGATCGAAGAATTTGGTAATCGAAAAGAAAGGGAAGTAGAGAGATTGGTATAGCGAGACAATGGCAACTTCCCAGAACAGAGAACCGTCGAAGAAGGCGATAAAAAGCCCTGGGGGTTCTGGTAGCTCTCAAGGCAAAACTAATTCGAGTGGCCAAACTGTTAAGTTTGCGCGAAGGACTTCAAGTGGACGATATGTGAGTCTGTCAAGAGAAGACCTTGATATGTCCGGGGAAATATCTGGGGACTATATGAACTACACAGTTCATATTCCACCCACCCCGGATAACCAGCCCATGGACACATCCGTGGCTGTCAAGGCAGAGGAGCAATATGTTTCGAATTCTTTATTTACCGGAGGGTTCAATAGCGTGACACGTGCACATCTCATGGATAAGGTGATTGATTCGGAGGTGACTCATCCTCAGATGGCTGGAGCCAAAGGCTCTGCATGCATGATGCCTGCTTGTGATGGTAAGGTGATGAAGGATGAGAGAGGAGTTGATATAACCCCTTGTGATTGCAGGTATGAGCTACGATACTCGAATTAATTACTAGTTTGATTACTATGCTAATAAGATCTTAAGATATTCGGGTACTAAGCCAAGCTCAGAAATCCAAAAAAATAAAAAATAAACTAGTACCTTTGGATAGGAATTCCGCATTCACTTTTTCTTGGAATTGTGTTTTGTAGGTTCAAAATCTGTAGAGATTGCTATTTGGATGCACAGAAGGACACTGGCCTTTGTCCAGGCTGCAAGGAGCAATACAGAGTAGGAGACGAATATGATGAGCCATCGGATTACAACAGTGGAACGCTGCAATTGCCTGGTCCTGACGGAAAAAGGGATAACATGTCTGTGATGAAGAGGAACCAAACGGGAGAATTTGATCACAATAGGTGGTTGTTTGAGACCAAGGGGACTTATGGTGTTGGCAATGCTTTCAATCCCCAAGATGACGGGTATGGTGATGGCGGTGGTGATGGCTTCCCAGGGGGCTCGCTGGATGCAGATGACAAGCCCTGGAAGCCCCTCAGCAGGATATTGCCAATCCCGGCTGCCATTATCAGCCCCTACAGGTCAGCATAAAAATTCATTCGCTCAGTACTTAGTTTGTACATGTTGCATTTGTTCACGCAAACAAAACATGTTATGCATAAATCGTACTTCCGCAATAGCACAAGCTTCGCAAAAGTTATAGTGACAATAAGAACATTGTAAGATGAAGTGATAATGTTCATATTGTATTATTATGCACTATAATTAAGATGACTAACAATTAAAATATATTTTATGCTGATCATCATCTTGTAGGTTACTGATCTTCGTTAGATTAATCGTGCTATCATTCTTCCTGCATTGGAGAATAGTCAATCCAAACAATGATGCAAGATGGCTGTGGCTCATGTCGATTATCTGCGAAATATGGTTCGCCTTCTCTTGGATTCTTGATCAGACTCCAAAGTTTTTCCCCATTAATCGTCAGACCGATCTTGAAGTCCTCCACGACAAGTTTGACATGCCATCACCATCCAATCCAACGGGCCGGTCTGACCTCCCTGGCATTGATTTCTATGTATCGACTGCTGATCCTGACAAAGAGCCACCTCTCACCACTGCCAATACCATCCTTTCAATCCTAGCCGTTGATTACCCGGTTGAAAAGATAGCATGCTACATCTCTGATGATGGAGGTGCCCTCCTCACCTTCGAGGCAATGGCGGAGGCTGCTAGTTTCGCGGACTTGTGGGTCCCCTTCTGCCGGAAGCACGACATTGAGCCGAGGAATCCTGACAGTTACTTCGCGTTGAAAGTTGACCCAACAAAGAACAAGAGTAGTCTGGACTTTGTGAAGGATAGGAGGAAGATCAAGAGGGAGTATGATGAGTTCAAGGTGAGGATCAACGGGCTTCCGGATTCAATCAGGAGGCGGTCTGATGCTTTCCATGCCAGGGAGGAAATGAAGCAGTTGAAGAATATGAGGGAGAATGGAACTGACCCTTTGGAGCAAGTCAAAGTCCCCAAGGCTACATGGATGGCTGATGGCACACATTGGCCTGGTACTTGGGCTGTTCCTTCCCATGACCATGCCAAAGGTGACCATTCCGGAATTCTTCAGGTAACATTAGCTTCTCACGAATTCGAATAAAAATATTTGCATGGTTACCGTTTACCTCTCAAATTCTCCATCATATAGCGCACAAGCGCTAACCATTTAGTAAGTTAATACAACTCTAACCATTGTTTGGGTGCACTCCACTATTTGGCTTCAACAGTTGATTTTGTAGTTTTTTTTTTCTTTTTTGAATTTGTAGTTCTTCTTTCGAGATCCACAAAATTAATTCAACCTAATCGAAAATTGTTTTAAAAGGGCTAAACGATTTTCAACTAGAGTGAATTTTTTTTTTAGGATAATCTCAATGATGACTTATGATCAGTTCATATCATGGGAAAATTGTGGAATGGATTCAAACGAATAGTTAGCATTATATTAACTTACTAACTGGTTAGCTCCTGAGTGTTGTTGATAAGCATGCGGTCAGTAAATACGGCAGAAACAATATTACTCAAACTTTGATGCCGCATTGTGCATAGGTAATGTTGAAGCCTCCTAGTCCTGACTCACTATTGGGAAGTGCCGATGATGACAAGCTCATAGATTTCACAGATGTGGATATACGCCTGCCGATGTTTGTCTACATGTCGCGAGAAAAGCGGCCTGGCTATGATCACAACAAGAAAGCTGGCGCCATGAATGCGCTGGTGAGAGCATCCGCCATCTTGTCAAACGGCCCTTTCATTCTCAACCTTGACTGTGATCACTATATCAACAACTGCAAAGCTATCCGTGAAGGGATGTGCTTCATGATGGACAGAGGCGGTGAAAACATCTGCTACATTCAGTTTCCTCAGAGATTCGAAGGAATTGATCCCTCTGATCGCTATGCCAATCACAACACCGTGTTTTTCGACGGCAATATGCGTGCGCTTGATGGTTTGCAGGTACCTTAATCAATTCGAAACTAGGAAAATTTCTATGTTACAAACTCGTGTGACATATAATATTTTTAAAGGGTTCACCTTTCTGTACTCGGATATGGAAATTGCGAACAGTTCGATTTGTGCGCATGTGATACAAGTTGTAACTTGGAGATTAAGTTACACACATATTATGTACATAAAATCAGTATGCATGAATCATTGGTTTGCAGGGTCCGATGTACGTGGGAACGGGGACCATGTTCCGGCGGTTTGCCTTGTATGGTTTTGATCCACCAAATCCTGACAAGCTGCCGGTGAAGAAGGATACTGAGACACCAGGAGAGCCTTTGACACAGTCGAATACAGAACCTTTGACAGCCTGTGACTTTGACGCGGATCTTGACACCAATCTACTTCCCAAGCGTTTTGGAAATTCGACAATGCTGGCGGAATCCATACCGGTTGCTGAGTACCAAGGCCGACCCCTAGCTGATCATCCCGCAGTGAAATTTGGACGGCCTCCAGGCATTCTCAGAGCTCCTCGTGATCCGCTAGATGCCACAAATGTTGCTGAAGCCGTGTCTTCCATTTCTTGCTGGTATGTATATAATTAACTGACAATATGATGTGACAGTTGATGTATCAGTTCAAATATGATCACTCAAAATAATTTCATCTAAGTGCTAGCAATGTACATTTGCATCAAATTAACATTCCGTGACAGGTACGAGGACAAGACCGAATGGGGAGACCGTGTGGGGTGGATTTACGGGTCGGTGACAGAAGACGTGGTGACAGGGTACAGAATGCACAACCGAGGATGGCGCTCGGTGTACTGCGTTACCAAGCGTGACGCATTTCGAGGTTCAGCTCCCATTAATCTCACTGATCGACTTCACCAAGTGCTCCGTTGGGCAACAGGTTCTGTCGAAATTTTCTTCTCTCGGAACAATGCCCTCCTCGCCTCAATGCGCCTCAAATTACTACAGCGCCTTGCCTACGTCAATGTCGGTGTCTACCCTTTCACCTCGATCTTTCTCATCGTGTACTGCTTCCTCCCAGCACTCTCGCTCTTCACTGGACAGTTCATCGTGGCGAATCTCAACATCACGTTTTTGATCTACTTGCTAACCATCACCATATGCCTCATTGCTCTGGCCCTCCTGGAGGTGAGGTGGTCGGGGGTCGCGTTGGAAGACTGGTGGCGAAACGAGCAGTTTTGGCTCATCTCCGGAACCAGCGCTCACTTGGCTGCTGTGGTGCAAGGGCTTCTAAAAGTGATGGCAGGGATTGAAATTTCCTTTACCTTGACAGCCAAGTCAGCTGGAGAGGACAATGATGATATATATGCTGACCTCTACCTTGTGAAGTGGACTTCCCTCATGATCCCTCCAATTGTGATTGGAATGGTGAACATAATAGCCATAATCGTCGCATTTTCAAGGGAGGTTTATGCTCTGAATCCTCAGTGGGCGAGGTTTATCGGCGGTGCCTTCTTCAGCTTTTGGGTTTTGGCTCACTTGTATCCTTTTGCCAAGGGTTTGATGGGAAGAAGAAGGAAGACGCCTACCATTGTGTTTGTTTGGTCAGGTCTCATTGCCATTACACTTTCCTTGCTCTGGGTCGCCATTAACCCGCCAGCCCCTGGTGTTGTCGCTGGTGCTGCAGGAGGCGGGTTCCAATTTCCGTGAGCTGGTCTGGTTACTGAGTACATTTTAACGACCTTGATTTTCAAATCTTTGATATGAAAGTAAAATGAAAAGAAAAGAACACTTGAACGACGTAGCCAATCGGATTGGATTATAGAGTTTTAGGGTCAAGAAACTGTAGAAATATAAACTAGAAGGATTTACAGGTACCTTTCGATTTCGTCCTCCGCCATTTGAGGGAGAAGGTTGTTTTGTTCTATGATTGTACTGGGCGGAGTTTGTATATCTTTTACTGGAGTTATGCTGAAAAGTCTGTAAACTGACCGTATTTTTTCCTTCTGTAAACATTCACTGTGTGTGTCTCATATAATCAATCCGCGTCGTTCTGGTGTACAGGGCATGTAACATACGGATTCAGAGGATATACATAAGCAAAAGAGAAAAACTTTCATGTCACGAGTGCATCCATCTGTTGTTCCTATCTCACTCGTCGTTTGACTTGGCAGGCAACGAGTAATAAATGCTAATCGAACATCGTTTCATTCCCTTATGTATAAAATCGGAAGGAGAATTCACTTCTAAGCTCTATGTTTAAAACAGAAAGCGGGAAGCCGTAAAGTCGAGGATCAAATCTTTATAACAGGAGACCCAAATCATTTGCATTACACGAGTCTAATCATTTTAACTATAACTGCTGACAACAATAATTATTGGTTGGTCGATCAGAGATCCGTCCAACTGCATAGGCTGGAGCTACAAGTGTAAGTATGAACAAACCAAAACTATCAGTATTCTATCTTCTCAAGAATAACCGTTGCTCACTGTACATCTGGGACACACGATATTAGTCACTACAGTTTAGAAATCTGACTGTTCAAATGGAACGCGCACAAACAACTGGCCGTTCAAGGTCACGACAGCAGATGTCTGATGTGGATCAATTCTCGACGGTAGGCTGACAACCTATAAAGAAAACCACTTTAATAATCCTGCAGTTATACTTTGATAGTGTCACACTACATAACAAAAGTTTGATTTGAACATGAAGGTGGGAGACGCAAAACACATTGTAGCTCCATCAACTGAACAGAAAGAAAATGATACAACTGCAAGGGTAAACTATGCAAGAGTTCAGATAGGTTATCCATATGTCATTAATAATTAACATGAACTGTGTTAAGGTCCATTAAATATGAGAGTACCACCGACTAAGTGGCTTAAACATGCTGCGAAAATTGCAAAGAACTACAGATGAGGGCTCGTTTGGTAACTAGGATTAGAATGGAGTGGATAAATCATAAAATTCAATGAATGTTGAGAATCGAGGTGAATGATTTTCACTTGGAGGGGATTAAAATGGGATTAGACATGAAGGAAATTCCCCCCTTCAAATTGGAAGGGATAAGTTTCCTCAATAAGCAATCCCCTTCTAATCCCCTCCAAATGAAAAATCATTAACCTCTTAACATATCTTGAGTTTTATGATTTATCCACTCCAGTCCAAGTTATGAAACGATCTCATAATTATAAAGTTATGCCCACCTTCTTAAAGGGTGTGACACCCCAAGGATTATCCAGTTGTGTTGGTTGACCAGATATAATCAAGCGTCCGGCTGGATCAGATTGCACATGCACCTGAATCATAATCATTGTTAACGACAAATACACACAGGGAATATAACTAGCAGAATCAGTATATAATTTCTTGGAAACCATAAAAGCAGCATGCCTATTTGAAACCCATGGAAAAGAGCTACCGACCTTGGCTATGAAACCAAAATGAACTTATAAACAACAATGATAACATAATTAGTTCATGGACTAACCTCCTCGCGCAGAAGCCCAGGAACTAAGGCATATACCTCAAAGCAATCATTCTGTATACGGTCAAGTTTCAGTTCTAAATGGATTTAATAAGTAGAAATATGTTAAGTCCGAACAGTGAGATGAGAGGAACTTACAAATCTTTTCACATTAATCTTTACCCAATCTGCTGGGGGTCCAATGTCAAATACCATTGTATCCATTCTGTAAACAAGGTGAAAGCAAAAATGTTGAGCTGGAATAATATCAAAGGTACTCTTTATTATCACAGATTCACAGGAAAATCACTAGGGGACCAAGAGAAAGTAGTAACCGTGGTTTTGTAGCTTTCATGTCAGCAACTTGGATACCAGAATCCATATGAGATGGCTTTTTCCGCTTTAGCAAACCTGAGTTAACTAAACATTTTTAAGATAGAGAAGATCACTATGGCAGCAAAAATGTCAAAAATTTAAACTCATCAGTCATCATACCAGAATTTTTTAGTTGCTTGTCACTTTTGGGCATGGTAATCAGGTGCTTATCCTAATACATGAACAAAAGATATATCATCAGGGAGGGAAAATGGCAAAAGAAACGGAGAATAAAAACAAATAAACATAAAGAGTTTAAAATTTCTCCAGACCTTATTAATTGCATCTCCAACCTCACCATTATTACCATGATGGCGGTGAGAGTGCCAACCCTGCATGGCACGAGCTGCAGCATCCCTTAGCGCCCTGCCTGAACCTAAAGTCTGGCCGCCATCAGCCTGCATTCAAACCCAAGAGGATGACACCAAGAAACACAAGAACAAAAGAGAAAAAGAACCAAAATTCTGTGTCTGTGCAGGTCCAGTGCCAGAAACTAATATTACTCATGCAACATTGAGCATCCTTTCCAATTCCTTATACAGAACCGCAACTAGCAGCATATATGATCAGTTAAGTCTAATTACCCGATTCTCAACTCTAGTAGGCTCTGCAGGAAGAGGAAGTTCACCACCATTCAGTCTATCCCTTTCAAATTCAAGTAATGCCTGTAGAAAATAATAATTAGGGACTCCAAAACCCGCAGGTAAACAGACCAAACACAAAGACGACAATAAAAAGTAAAAACTCAAAAAATTATAAGTAGAGAATAACCTTCTCATAAAAATTTCGAAAAGTCCAAGAGACAGTAGTACAGGTTCTGTGCACCATGAAAAAACAGCCATTGGAATGTAAGTTTATAAAAGAATAATAAACTCAAAACAAATGGAATTTCTGTTTGGTGAGTGGGTGGAGTGTTTTGTAATTATATACATAATAACTTTGGATACCGCCACAAAATAAGTTGCCTTCCTCTTTTATTTTATTTTCTGGGCCTGGTAAATCATTCAGATAGCTTAAAGAGAGATATCAAGGAAAGAAAAGCAGTATTGCTTACTTTGGGGGATTGAATGATTCTCCAACCTGCCGCCACAACTTGCACGTAGTAACCTACATGTTCCCACAGAAACACCAAGCGGAGTAAACCAAATAGAACAATATAGTAAAATCAGTCTAACAAAAGATAATCATTATGCAAGTGCATCAGCCAGCTTGCTTTCTCTCTCTTTCTTTCTCTTCTTCCCTTTTGATAAGTTTTCATATTTGCACAGAGAAACAAATAATGCAGTTGTTCGCTTTAGGTACCTAAGTGTATACACATACAAGAGAGGTCAGGTGGAGTAGGTGTGCCACCCAACTTGTGAATATAGTACCCTCGGCATAGGAATTTGTAATAATCCATATATATGTGGAGTTGTGTCTTATGCTATTTAACCGATATGGGAATTGAGGGATTCTTTCTCAGCTGTGCATAATACTACCTAATCTACTAATCCTTATTCAAAACTATTCAGGATTCAGAGATAAACAATCCCACACAAACCTTGTCGTAGCCACCAAGTTTGATCACAGCTCTCCATAACCTGATTTTAAGAAGAAACAACAAAGTTAACATCGAGCCAAAATGTTTTCTAACTAATTAATTTACGCAAATTCACCAAGAATTTACTTGAGCAAATTTAATTCCTCTTTGTAGAACTTTGGGGCTTTGAATTCCAAGTTCTTCTCTTTATATAAATTTATCACCTCCTTCGTGAATGATGCTTGCTCCTCCTCAGTCCCTGACTCACCACCCTCATCAGCACCTGGATCCAAGAGAAAGGTTTTCTTTGGTTCTAAGCTCTTCATCCCAACCTTACGCCCAACATAAAATATGGGTTTCTGCAGTTGCTCGTTTATGTCAGTATGAAAGGAGAACTTTGTTTTGTTGCTCACCCCACCATTCAGTCCCTCTACTTTCTCACCATCGTCATCAGATTCAGTCTCCACTTCGACTTGATTATCACGAGGCATATCAGGCTCCACCTTACTAACAACATTATCAGTTTCAGCACTGATATGGGGTTCACTAGAGGGGTTGGCCTTGATGTTCAACCCACCTATCAGTTTCTTCATACCAACCCCACTATCATGAGACATTTTATCAGTTTCCGCCTTACAAATAGCATTATCAGCTTCAGCATTGATGTGCAGTTCACTGGAGGGATTGACTTCGCTGCTCACCTTATCGGTCAGTTTCTCAGTTGCACACTCACTGTCACAAGGCATATCAGGCTCCACCTCCACCCTTCCAACAACATTACCAGTTTCAGCACTACTATCTGGTTCATTGGAGGATTTGGCTTTGTTGCTTGCCTGTTCTATCAGTTTTTCTGTTGCAACTTCAATATCACAAGGCATACCAGGCTCCACCTTACAAGCAGCATTATCATCTTCAGCAATGATATTGGGGACCTCACTGGTCACCCCATCTTTCAGTTTCTCTGGTTCAACCTCACTTTCATGTGTATCAAGCTCCGCCTTACGAACAACATTATCAGTTTCAGCAGTCCTATCTGGCTCATTGGAGGATTTGCCCTTGTTGCTCTCCCCATCTATCAGATTTTCTGCTGCAACTTCACTATCACAAGGCATACCAGGCTCCATTGTAGAAACAATATTATCAATTTCATCACCGATACGTGTTTCGCTGGAGGGGTTGGCCTCGCTGGTCGCCTCATCTGTAAGTTTCTCCATTGCAGCCTCACTATCATGAGGCATATCAAGCTGCATCTCACAAGCAACATCATCAGTTTTATAACTTATATCTGCTTCATTGGAAGGGTTGGCCTCACTGCTCACCCCATCTTTCAGTGCCTTTTCTTCCTCAACACCATCAACTTCCCTTTCAATCTCCATGGGGTCCTCAGTGTGAGGCGACCCACCGTCACCAACAAGACTACCAATCTTGCCACTGGCACCCAATTCAATAGACGGGTTAACTTTGCTGCCCAAATCATCCTTCAGTGCCTCCCCTTTCACACCACCACTCTCCTCTCTCACAATCTTCACAGAAACCTCACTCTCACAATGCACACCAGAATCCACATTACTCGCAACCTTATCAGTTTCATTACGGGAATCTAGTTCATTGCATGGTTTGTTAGCAATGTTAGCATCTTCACGAGTCTCAGGGACAGAGGGAACCGAATCAACCGCACCCGGAATGTCATCACCAGGCAATTCAACACCATTTTCATCAACGCTCTTCTGGGTCTCCATTTCTACACCATCAAAGGTCTTGGGGTTTGGTTCTTCTCCCCCTTCAACACGTGCAGGAACATGGGTATCTGCCCCCCTTTTGTTTTCTCCATCCTCAACCCTTTTTCCCTCCTCTTTCCCTACATCCTCCATTTTTTTCCCTATATTTTTCTTTCCTTCTTCAAACATTCAAACAAAAACACGAAAAATAAAATAAAAATCCAAACTTCAAACAAAATCCAAACTAATAAATACTCGGAAACAAAAGGAAAGCACGGATTTTGAAGAAAATGAAAACAAATAGAAAGTGGGAATGTTATGAAAAACAACAAAAATGAGTATCATATGTAGTGGTTTAACCTCTGCTTGTATTATAACCAGGAGGGAGAAAAACAACAACTTGAAACGACGTGGAGAGAGGCTTACCCAGTTGCCGTTTTTGGTGACAGGGATGGTGAAGTGGCGGTGGGTGCCGGAGTTGTGCTTCTTCTTCCTCTGGTGGTCTGCTGTTGATGGTTGATCTGACGCTTTGGGCTGCCGGTTGCTTCCGCTGCTCTCTTTGCAAATGGTTTTTCCAAATTTAGGACTTCTTATTTTTTGACCAAAAACAAAAAGACTTCTTATTGTCCACTTTTTTTTTATCTTCTCACGTGTCAGGATGAGTAATTCTTTGCCTACCATTGATTCTAGGCAGCGTGCTTACTTTTCTTGTCACGTGCTTTTAAAAAATTTCACTTTTCTTGTCACGTGCTTTAAAAAAATTATTTTAAAAATAGAGTAACGTAGTTATTTATTTGTTTTTACTTTTTTAACTTTTTTTTCATTTGTTTTTTAATTTTTTCTGAGTAGATTGATATTTTTATACGAAGAACAAGGAGAGTTCAGCTAAGTCACCCAATAGACAGCCTAATTTGGTATTGAATTCGCTATTTAAGATATTCGAACCTAAGACCTCTCACTTTCAAGTGAAAAGAAGTACTACCAGATCGTACTGAACAACATTGTTTTTACTTAATTTTACTTCTTGATATGGTGTCATTGGTGTGGGGTGGGTACTTTAGGTTAGGTGATTGTGTGGCTGAATTTCTTTAGGCATATAAGAGTCTTAACTCTTAAGTTTGATAAGATTTTGTTAGTAACTTCTATGGGAGATTCTATCATGTGATTGGAATGTTAGATAATTTTTTTTTATACATACCCTTTAAGAGAAATGATCTTCATTTTTTTTTAAATAAGGATTACTTGTGGAATCCAATTCATATCGAATTTCAACAATCTAAATCATTCATTTTTTAAATTTTGATTTATAGATAATTCTTGTACATATTCAATTCAATCTGAAACCATTTACTTATTTAATTGTCACGATGAAATTTCAATGTTTCTTATAACATAGTTTTCATCAATTTCTTTTGGGTTATTATACAAAATGGTCCTTGAGATTTGCATGATCAATAGAAATGGTCCCTGAGATTGTCCACCATCCATGATTTTGGTCATTCAGTTAAAAACGATTTTGGGCAATTTTCAAAACTTTATAACTCAATCGTTTCTTAACCAAATTCGACCCATAATATATCAAAATGAAGATAGGAAAGTGTTGAATACGATTATACCTATCTAGAAACCCAATGGTTGCTGGCGATGGCCGCAAAATAACCTGAAAGGTGACTGGTATGTGGAAAACTGGAAAACTCACCGGAAACTGGGTAAACTTTAAACGTTCATAACTTCTTCAATACTCAACCAAATTGAGTGATTCAAAAACGAAAATAATACTTCTTGACAAGACAAAGAGAATGATACCTTGTTGGAAGGCTAACTCGCCGTAGTTTGGTCGGACAACGGCCCGAAAGTGGCTAACCATTTTCTAGTTAGCCACTTTCGAGCAGTTTTCCAGCCAAACCACGGTGATTTAGTAGTAAATAAAGATACCATTCTCTTCGTCTCGTCGAGAAGTATGATTTTTGTTTTTGAATCACTTGATTTCATTGAGTATTGAAGAAATTATGAACATTTAAAGTTTACCTAGTTTCCGGCTAGTTTTTCAGTTTTCCCGCGGACCAGTCACCTTTCAAGCTATTTTCTGCCCATCTCCGGCAATCATTGGACTTCCAAATAGGTATAATCTTGTTCGACACTTTCTTATCTTCTTTTTTATGTATTATGGGTCGAATTTGGTTAAAAATCGATTGAGTTACGAAGCTTTGAAAGTTGCCCAAAGAGTTTTTGAAGGAATGATCAAAATCATGGATGGTGGACAATCTTAGGGACCATTTCTATTGATCATGCAAATCTCAGAGATTATTTCTATTGATCATGCAAATCTCAAAGACCATTTTGTATAATAACCCATTTCTTTTAACTCAATTAGATGCCTCAAATATTCGAATTTGACTAATATTTTGTAAGGATGATCTATGAGGTGCAACTTAAAATCAAACAATTCAGATCGTTGAAATTCAATGTGATGTGGGCTCCACAATTAATTCCCATTTAAAAAAAAAAAAACTCTCAAAGGTTTTTTTTTTTTTTTATAAAGTAGGTCACGTCACGTGATGAGAGAGAGGTAGAGACATGAGAATAAATACGTAGGTCATGATTGTGCCACAAATTCTGCCAACTGCTAGAAGTGGGCAAAAGTGATGATTTTTATCTTTCTCCTAACATGAGTTATGCAATGAGAGAGACAAAAGAATATAGTCATAGGTCGTGATTGTGCCTCAAATTTTACCACCTTCCAAGAGTGGTCAAAAGTGATGGGAAAGTATCTATATCTTTTGTATAACCTAAGTCACGTGATAGGAGAGAAATAGAGACAAGATAATATACTCATATATTGTGATTGTGCCTTAAATTTTGCCACCTTTTAGGAGTTTGATGAGAATGTATTTATATTTTTCTTATAACGTGAATCGCGTAATGAGAGAGATGAAGACAAGATAATATACTTATAGTTCCTGATTGTCGCTCAAATTTTACCAACTCCTTGGAGTGGACAAATTAAAAGAAAAGATCATCGAACCGGCCAAACAAAGGCAACCTATGTTATTCTGTTCTATAGTAGAATAAAACAGAGTATTGGGTTCGACATAATTGATCCAAACCGTAATTTATGGTGCTTACTATTTTGTTTTCTTTGGCACTTCAAAATTTTCATTTTACACTTTTAACAAGTGTATTTTTGTTTCCTAATATAGAAAGTTTGGAGTGTAAAATGAGATTTTTAGAATGTTAATAACAATTCCCCACTTTTTTTACACATGTTGTTTGTTTTCAGTTATAACAACTCGATAATAGGCGCTTTTTCAGTCCTTTTATTTCCCTTCTATTTTACCATATAAAACCAAGCCCACATTTTTTTTTAATTTTTTTTTTTACAATAATAAGCCTTATGTTTTTACCATATAAAAAGCATAATCTTTTTTTCTGGCCAGTTGATATAAAAAAATAAAAATAAAAATAAAAATAAAAAAACCTATGCAATCTAGAACAAGATCTAATTTTAAGTCTTCACTTAAAATTTTTTGCTTTAATCTAATGTATTAATATTTTATTTGGCAAAGTCATAAACAAGTTTTGTTCTTATGATATAATCATGTCAATACTAAAAATTAGGCTCTACCATCTTGTTTGATTAAAAATTTTCATGCCAATACAAAAAACAAAACCTTTAATTTTTCTCCTGTTCAATAAAATTGCAATTAATTTGTCTAATTTCTTTTGTATGGCTTAAGGCCCCTCCTAATTTGCATTTTTCGCTCCACCACTGGGTGCAAGAGACCTTTTAAATTAGGTGCACTACGCTCTACCTACAAAGTTTTAATCATGCACAATAGGTAGAACCGGGGCTAGAGCTACAGAATTGAATGAACGAGGCAACAAACTGCAGCAGTTATGCCTCACCACTGGCTCCATTCGCGGCTCTAGAAGGTAGGCACCGGTTGCCTTCGGAATATTGCCACAAACCTTTGGTGATCGTTATGAATCTAACTTTCGGATTCTGTAATTGGTCATGTTTCTTTTTCATGGATGTGGAGTAATTTGCGGCAAGTCTATGCAACTCCTTATTTTCCTGTTCGAATCCTCTTATTTCCTCTCTAAAAATTGTCACCTCAGCAGTTAGTGACTCCACTTCGTGAGTTTGTGCAAGCAAATGCTGGCCTATGTTGAAACGGAGCTCGCACACTGAACGTTGAAGGTTGAAGAGTCATGGACAGCTAGCTCTCCTCTTTGATAACCCCCTCTAAGATTTTCACTTCGTTAACTTCGCTCACTCCAAAAACCCCGCCACCCCTCCCCTCCGTTTTGCCCAAAATGCATAACCCCCTTCAATTAAATTAATTGTTAATTTAATTGCCATCCTGTGAGGGGCATTGGGATGAAAAAGCTAGACTTGTTTTAGTTATCTACCTATTTTTTTATTATAGTTTAATTAGGGTTGGTTGGAATGCAAAACTATACAACAAAAAAATTTAGATGACCGCCACCCTTAGTGGGGGCATCCGCCCCCTAAGGCTATACTAGCTCCGTCCTTGGGTATAACTTAAATTTTCTATTTAATTTTAAATATTTTTATATGATATTTGCTAGGATTGAGAGAAAGCATAAACAATTAGAAAGATAATTGAAGACCAATGTGTTTCAACAATATTGTATATTGTAACTGAAGGTGATTGGACCAAAAATTAAGTCATCAATCTGAGAAATTAAGACCGTTGAATAGACAGAGTTTTAGACTATCTGATGAGTAAAACATTAATATAATTCCAATTATTTTAGATTTTGTTGTTGTGATAACCATATTAAATTATGGGGAAACTTGATATAGGTCCAATTTTTTAAGCCAATAGTAGGAATAGTCCAATTTATTAAAATTAGTCCAATTCCTTAAATCTTATTATTTTATTATCAATAATTATCTCTTAAATGATAAGATTTATTATAAAAATCAAATTTCTTCCTAATTATCTCTTTGATTATTTATTTATTTTGTTCTTTCTTGTTCTTTATCCTGTTTTAAACCCCATTTATAGATTTTAGTTTTTATTTTTATAATCAACCTATATCATAAGTTAATTATATTTATCTACCTATATGACAGATTCTTTTTTATAATCAAGTAAGATTCATGTGTCTTGTTTGTAGATATATTATGTTTTTTTCCACCTTTTAGTTAAGTTTCATATCTTACTTATAGGTATAATATACATTCATATATTTGTTACTTGAGTTAGGGTAGAATGATTTGCAGATAGATTTATGTCAATATATTATTTTTTTTGTTATAAGATATTAATTATATTTTTTGGGGTTGAAAATTCATAATATTAGAAGATTTTAATTGATTTTTAATATTTTTAGAAAATATATTATGAGCATTAAAAAAATAAATACATATAATTAGGTAATTGGACTCACTCCTAAAAACCATCTATGTTTTTGGACCTGGATCTAAAAGCCCCATTAATTATTTTCCGAATAATTGGAATTATCCTGATATTTTATTGATAATTACTTGGGCAAAATGTTTGAATACAATCATTTTTTTTTTAATTTTGGAACAAACAATATTATCTACACAAAAAGGAAGGAGGTAGGCTAAGGGTTGGTTTGGAATTGCTGTGTTTTGAAAAAAAAAACTGTTTCTACTGTGCTGTGAGAATAAGCTCATATTTGCTGCTTTACGTTTTCACTTTTTTTTTTTCACTCAAAACTATGAAAATAAGTTGTTTTAAGTGTTTACCAAACACCTTTTTGAGCTCAGATTTTTTTGATACCCACTTTTTATAAAAACACCTTAATATCAAATTAGTACTAAGCCTCACAATGGACTAGCAAAAATGTGGGTCAAATTCGTCTTGGTAAGAATTAAACTAAGATCTCTCACCTACAAATGAAGAGAAATACTACTAAACTATAATACTAATAAGTTACGATTGATTCGGATTGGTAGGCTGTCGGTTGGAACAAAATAAATACACCTAAATGGAAGCCTAATTGGTTATTCAAATGAGGATTCTTTTCAATCTTTTGGATAAGGATGTCTTTTTATTTTTTATTTTTTATTCGTTCGTAAAGTAAGGATAGGATTACATCAAGAGGTTTTTGCACGTCGTCCCTTATTAGCCTGGGATAATTCACATGCAGAAAATGAGATAAGAGTTTCAGAGACGTGGTGCAATCAAAGATGCGTCGACAACTGATTATCCAAGGCCTGTTTAGCATGAGGATCTACAACGTGAATGAGCCCTTTTAACTCAATAAACAATTCAAAATTCCCTACACGAAAATGCTTTTTAAGTGAAAATCACACTAACTATCTTAACATTTTTCGTCAACACATCATCAGTTCATACAAGTAAACAATATTATGTTGACACCCTGCAACATCTTTAGTTTAGACTAACAACTTGCAACATCTTCATTCAACACAACTTTAGTTTGGACAAGTAAACAACAATGTGTTGACAACTTGCGACATCTTCACTTTGGACTAACAACCTGTAACATCTTCAATTTGGATTAACAACACTGGAGGGGTAGAACCAAACAATTCAGAAGAACATTCAGTTCGGATCTATGACAACACTTAGTTGGTTATCAGGGCCAGCTTTGAGAATTTAGGTGCCCTGTGCAAAATTCAAATGGAAGCCCTTCATCTTTTTTAATACTGTATTTTATTTGTTATTTTTTTTTTCAATTTGTATTTATAAAATTTAAATACTACAAATTTGAGCAACAAATTATAAGTATTATTTGAGTGGACACAAGTGTTTCCTGTAACTTTTTAAGTTAATAAATTTGCAGAACTTTAAAATAGTGGACTTGAACCCAGGCATGTACAAGAAGATTGAAGCCTTACACCACTAGCACTGGTACTAAAATTATTATCAACTTGCACATTTATATATATAATGTATATCTATTTACATGTAAAGAAAATTGGGGGCCTGTGCGGTGACACCTTTTGCACACCCCCAGGATTAGCTTTGTTGGTTATCCATCTAAAGTCTTGGCAGATGGAATTCTTCATTCTTTTGTCTCAAAAGGTCATCTCATTAGCTTTGGCGAAGTGAGGTGTTCTCCAGTTATCCTTTGTTTGGCACAACGAAAGTCGAACTTATTAGTGAACTTTACATTAATCTAGTAACCTTGTCTTCAAGTTCTAAAGCAGAATGTCAAGACGTTTTCCTTCCTCGACCATAATCGTTTCAGTATAGAGTAAGTAGTGCATCCGACACAACCATCACCTCCATTATACTTGTACCGAGCTCAATTGCAAGTTGTCACGCTCACTTTCACAAGAAGAACGTAGTTAGATCATATTTACTCAGTCTACACGCTACTGAGGCTTTGTAATTTATAGGACCAAAACATAAAGGAAGACAAATGCCATTTTATATCCACTAATCATATACACTTTTGTTTTCGACTGTATGTAACGTACCTTATAATCTGCATAAGAGTATCTTTGGAACTGATTGCAAAGGGCCACAATCGTATTTGAATAGACATAATTAGTCCAAACAAGAAAACTAGATTAATGAAAGAAAACAAATCCAATGACATTGGATGAGAAATAATTGAATGGCTCCGACTCCGAGTGGATGGACAAACACTATAAAATGGAAAGGGATCCCCTTTGAATCCCTTCCACCGAATTTTCATGAGCTACAAATTCGGATATTTGAAATTTGATCCAACAGTTAAAGTTTTTTTAACTTTTAATGAAATTCTATATTTGTAACCGTTGGATTAAATTTCAAAAATCCGGATTTATGGATCATGAGGCTTAGGTGGAATGGATCCCTTCCTGTAAAATTAAAATGGGTAAAGTACAAAAAACTGCCTCAACTATTGGTGTCTCGACACTTTCATACCTCATCTTTTAAAATTGATAATGTCATACCTCATCTTACGAATTTGTACCAATGTTATACCTTCCGTTAGCTTAGCGTGAATTTTTCAGTTAAATGCTGACGTGATATGATTCAGGGCCTACTTTCTATTAAAAAAATTAATAAAATACTATTAAAAACTAAAAAAAAATTATTTAATATTTTTTAAATATTAAAATTAAAAAAAAAGTTAAAAAAAAAAAAAATAAACCGAATCAACTCTTTCCCTCCCTCCATCCCTCCCACTGCAAAACTCCAACCCAGAAAACAAATGAAGCAAAAAAAAAAAAAAAAAAAACCTTCATCCCTTCCCACCCTCCCCCTCCCCCCCCCCCCCACCCCCTGCTGCAAGCCTGCAACCCAGAAAACAAAAGAAGAAGAAGAAGAAAAGAAAAGAAAAAAAAAAACTTTATCCCTTCCCACTTCCCCCCCCCCCCCCGCGCGCGCGTCCTTCTTTCTTCTCCCCCATCCCCCCCACCCCCTCTTCTCCCCCACCCGAGCCCTTACCTGCAACCCAGAAAAAAAAAAAAAAAAAAATCCCAGTTCGTCTTCCCCTCGCATCCACCTTCCGCACCCATTCTTACACCCACCCAACCTCGCACTCACCCCTCGCGGAATCAACGAATGGGATCTGGGTTTTTTTTTTTTTTTTTTTCCTTCTTCTTCTTCATCCTCCTTCTTTTGCTTTCTGGTTTGGCAGGGGGTTGGATTTGTTTTGGGAGGGGGGGACGAACTAGGTTTTTTTTTTTTGGGGGGGAGGGACGAACTAGGTTGGGTTTTTTTTTTTTTTTTCTTATTCTTCTTCTGCTCCTCCTTCCTTCCTTCCTTCCTTCTTCTTCTTCTTCTTCGGGGGGGGGGGGTTTGGGGCAAATTTTTTTTTTTTTTTGGTTGAATCACGCAGGGAAGAAGAAGATGGGAGAGAGAGAGAAGGGGGGGTGGATGGGAAGGTTTTGATTTTTTTGATTTTTTTTTGTTTCAACTTTTTTTTATTATTTTAATATTTAAAAATATTAAATGATTTTTTTATTTTTTATTTTTTTAATAGAAAGTGGGATCTAGATCAAGCTACGTCAGCATTTAATTGATAAATTAACGGCAGACTAACGGAAGGTATAACATTGGCACAAATTCGTAAGATGAGATATGACATTGTCAATTTTAAAATATAAGGTATGAAAGTGTCATGACACCAATAATTAAGGTAATTTTTTGTATTTTAGCTAATTAAAATCATCTAAACTGTCAAGTCTACTGCAGAAAGTTTGACAAAAACAAAAAGTCTACTGCAGAAAGTTGGAATTCAGATAAATTGATATTGATATTCAATTTCCTTGCAATCAACGGTTCATATTGCATGATGACAATCATTTACATCCAACGGTGAAGGAGCGCTGGTGAAAGTGACGAAGTGACGTAGTTGATCAGAGCCTCAGGAACCGGGTCAGAATAGAATACGAACAGCCTACCCGACCCTCCTGAAGCTCCCGTCCCTCTTTTACCTTCATCATCACTTTCCTTGTACTCCCGATTTTTTATTCATATTTTTCCCAATTATTTCCTTCAATTCGATCAATTTGAATCCAAAACCCTAAATCTGAATTCCTAATCCCACTAAAAATTGGACCAAGGTTCTAGGGTTTCTCTGCTATTCCGAAAACCCTAATTAAAACTTGCCATTTTTGTCTCTCACTCCACTGGCTAAAGCTAAAGGTTGAATATTGCTGAAGATTCACAATAGTTCACTTTCTCAGCGGAATAAGACCATGCGAGTCTTTGTGAAAGTCTATATCTTTCTGGGTCAGTCTTTCTTTTTCATAGATTTTTTACATATTTGTTAGAATTTACTTTGAAATTTCAATTTTTTTCCCGCTAAGATTGTAGATGACCTTATTTATGTATCAGTGATTCTGTATATGGGTGTGTATATATATACATACATACAGACATAATACTCATTTTATATTTATACAGATTACAACAGTGTGAGGTTTGGGGCTTGAGATAATTCAATTGGAATTGATCTGAAACCGTTTCAAAATTTTGACATGGATAACGAGGTGATTGAGTTTGATATTGGGTTGGGAGGAGGGGGAGGCCGGGATGGGGATGATGATTTTGTAGACATTGAGCATCCTGTTGATGATGAGGAAATGGTTGATAGTCCTCTTCTGGGGAGTGGCAGTGGCGGTGGTATTGTTTTCGGTGGTGGTGAAATTTACTTTCCTGAGGGGGATCTCTTGGACCTTGAGCCATATGACGGCATGGAATTTGAGTCTGAAGAGGCTGCCAAGGCCTTTTACAATTCGTATGCACGGCGGGTTGGGTTCAGTACTCGTGTCAGCTCCTCACGTCGTTCCAGGCGCGATGGAGCAATCATACAGAGACAGTTTGTTTGTGCTAAAGAGGGTTTCCGGAATTTGAATGAGAAGCGCACCAAGGATAGGGAGATTAAGCGCCCTCGGACTATCACTAGAGTTGGGTGCAAAGCATCCTTGTCTGTAAAGATGCAAGATTCGGGGAAATGGGTGGTGTCTGGTTTTGTTAAGGATCATAATCATGAGTTGGTTCCGCCAGATCAGGTGCATTGTCTTCGTTCTCACAGGCAAATATCTGGTCCTGCTAAGACTTTGATTGATACCTTGCAGGCTGCTGGAATGGGTCCCAGGAGGATTATGTCAGCGCTGATTAAGGAATATGGTGGGATAAGCAAAGTCGGATTTACAGAGGTGGATTGTAGGAATTACATGAGGAATAATCGCCATAAGAGCTTAGATGGGGACATTCAGATGCTTTTGGATTACTTGAGACAAATGCAAGCTGATAATCACAACTTTTTCTATGCCGTGCAGGGCGATGACGATCAGTCCATGGGAAATGTCATTTGGGCTGATCCAAAGGCAAGGATGAACTATAGTTATTTTGGTGATACTGTTACCTTTGACACTACCTACAGGTCTAACAGGTACCGTTTGCCCTTTGCACCTTTCACAGGGGTGAACCATCACGGTCAGCCTGTTTTGTTTGGTTGTGCCTTTCTGATAAATGAATCTGAAGCATCATTCGTTTGGCTGTTCAAAACATGGCTTATGGCAATGTCAGGCCGGCCCCCAGTGTCAATTACAACTGATCATGATCCTGTGATACAGTCAGCCATCACGCAGGTTTTCCCGCAGACCCGGCTCCGTTTCTGCAAATGGCACATCTTTAAGAAATGTCAGGAGAAGCTATCCCATGTGTTTCTTAAGCATCCGACCTTTGAAGCAGACTTTCACAAGTGTGTTAATTTGACTGAGTCCATAGAAGAATTTGAGTCTTACTGGTTGTCTCTTGTTGATAGATACAATCTCAGAGATCATGAATGGATTCAAATGGTATACTCCGCTCGCAGGCAGTGGGTCCCTGTATATCTGCGGGACACTTTTTTTGCAGAAATGTCCATTACTCAGAGAAGTGACAGTATGAACTCATATTTTGATGGATATGTGAATGCTTCAACAAATTTGAGTCAGTTCTTTAAGCTTTATGAGAAAGCTCTAGAGAGTCGAAATGAGAAGGAAGTGAAAGCAGATTTTGAAACTATGAACACTGCCCCAGTTTTGAAAACCCCATCTCCAATGGAAAAGCAAGCATCCGAGCTTTATACAAAAAAGATATTTATGAGGTTTCAAGAGGAGTTAGTTGGAACGCTAACTCTTACAGCATCTAAGGGTGATGATGATGGGGAGATCATCACATATCAAGTAGCTAAGTTTGGGGAGGACCATAAAGCATACTATGTTAAGTTTAATGTTTTGGAGATGATGGCAACTTGTAGTTGCCAGATGTTTGAGTTCTCAGGTCTTCTTTGCAGACATGTATTGGCAGTCTTTAGAGTGACCAATGTGTTGACTCTCCCATCCCATTACATATTGAAACGATGGACTAGAAATGCCAAGAGCAGTGTCATGTTAGAAGAACGTTCTAGTGATGTATATACCAATTATCTAGAATCTCATACTGTTCGGTACAATACCCTACGTCATGAGGCCTTTAAATTTGTAGATGGAGCAAGGTCTTCAGAAACTTATGACATTGCAGTGGAAGCTTTGAAAGAAGCTGGAAAGAAAGTAGCTCATGCCACAAAGCATGAGGGGAAATCCATGGTGAATGGGCATGTCAGGGGGAACTTGGCTGGTGGGGCAAGTCAGGCAGCACGTTGTGCTAGTGGGGATCATGAAGGAAGTTCTGGCCAACACTTGTCTGAGGTTAGAGTCATTTTTCCGATTTTTTATTTATTTGATTACTTGTCTTAAGGCGTCAGCCTTTTTTTGTTACCTTTGATGGTGCGTTCCATGTTGACACAATCTTTCTTTGCTGATGTTTGTCAAATAGTTTGACTAATGAAATGGTGTTTGACTGTTTGCATATATGATTTGTTCAAGCCTGTTGTAACTTTGTTGTTATGGGTGTTATTGTGTAGGATGATATGGACAAAAAAATTCGAGAACTTACGAATGAGCTGGAGTGCGCAAATCGGAAATGTGAAGTTTATCGGGCTAACCTGCTTTCAGTTTTGAAAGATATAGAGGATCATAAGTCACAATTGTCAATTAAAGTACAAAACATTAAAATTGGCATGAAGGACGGCCTATAAAGGTGCACTACAGTCTCATGTACTTATCTTTTATTTTTTACTGCTTTTTAGTCGGTGTACTTTCACAATGCCCTTTGGATAAGGCTGTTCCTTCACTTATGATTGGTGTAGAAATTGGAAATCTGTGAATGTTGTTCTATGTGGAAATAGAATTTATGTAGATGTATAATGCTATGCACTTATAGTTGTACGATCCAAAATCTATGCAGATACTTAATAGTTGGCTGTCCGACATCAATTGGAAAATAACCTCCACTTATGTGGGAAATTGGCAGGGTCCATGTTGTAAATCATGGATCTTGGCTGCGGATTTGTCTCGTTACAGGCTTGATACCTCATGTGTAAATCTTGTATTGGCAGATTCGTTAGACTTGTTTTCTTTTTGTTATTAGTTAATAGTTATGTTATTTTAAAACGATTTATATTTTTCTGACATTTTATGGGTTGTGAATCTTGTGATCTTCTAGTCTGCAACAGTAACTTTTTGGGAGGAGACATCATTGTATGAATGGTTGCACAAGAAGACAGGCATGAGAGCCGAAGGGTTTATCGGGGTATGGATGTTTAGCAATTGAAATCGTTCGGTAGCTCTTTTCTCATTGTGTGTGTATTTATATATTTTCGTTTGGTGATTGTTTGCTGTCGAAGGTAATAATCAGATGTTATTTTCTGTGCCTGTCGAATAATACCTTCAATTTTAAGTTTTCGTATACGCTTGTAGGTAAATTCATCCTTGATTTGACAAGTCATCTTCCACTCATCCTTGTAAATTGGCTGTACAGAACCTATTAACTGCGGTTTCTGTTAGGAAGGTTAGTACAGTTTCACTGGAGTGTATCTGCACCAACACTTTGTTTACTTTTCGTGCTTCGATCTTTAGGCTTTCGTTGCCCCGTTTCTTTGGTATTGATTACATGTGTAAACAATTTCGCTGGTTAAGCTTATTGGAGTTTGCTGAGTCCCATTTTATTGGCATTGAAAGCAATACTGTGTAATATGACACCGAAACTGAAAGCTTGAGTTCGGGTGACTGGGAAAGGGGGGATGGAATGTCATGTTCTTCCGAGCCTTTGTTGGAGCGAGATATGTAATGTGATATTCTTATGTTGTGTATACACTTTGTAGGATATGATTTTCCTAAGTAGAGTTCAATCTACGATTTGGGTGATCGTCAGTCGTAATCATCAATGGTAGTTAGTTGTAAATTTATGTGGGACCATCCAATCAACGACTAACAATCCTTCACACGAGCGATTGATACTTTTCTGACCCCAAGTGATTTAGATTCTTGTGTGATTTGAGCACCTAACATATGACTTGCAAATTTAAGTCTAGTTGTGTGAGTTGCTTTTCCATACACACAACGTAACTGAAACTGAAAAAACAAATTGAAGAAATGGAAAGAATCGACCTTGTTGGAGTTGAGATGCTTTCAAGTTTCAAGAAATTAAAATTTAAGGATGAGGATTTTTCCCTCTCTAAAAATGTTGAAGTGAGAAAAAACGAACTTTATAAAAAGACCGAGTTTTGAAAAACAACCTAGTTTGGACATGTTGAAGAGTTTTAGCTACTCGAAGGGAGTTCGACTGTTCAAGCGTTGTTGGAGGAATCTCGACGGGGTTCGAACAATTTCGAGAGATGAGTTTGGGTAAAGGCGTTATTTGGCTGAGCATTTAGGGTAAGTTACTAAAAAATTATCATGTTGACACGAGTGGAACAAGGTTTGAGAGAGAAAGGTCCCAAGATAGGGACCCACTGACCCACTTCCATGGTGAAGTTTTTCTTTTGTTTGAGAAGGAGAAACCTATGGATCCCCTATAGTCGTCATCCGACCTTGTTCATGGGACCACAAACACAAAACTAAGGACTCCTAGTGTTGACATGCCCCAACTTCGTACTAGCACACACCTAAACGTGACGTAACCATTTTATGCTTGATGTCACGAGGGACAAAATATTACAGGTTAATTCTATCGAAAATTCAACAAAACTTCTCCTGTTTTATGCAAATTATCGTCTTTTACCCTGCATGAAAATAACAAATCTGGGTGGGAGTGCGTCCCCAAGGCCCACATGTGACTCCGCTTGTGGTGGTGCCGTTTAGGTTGTGCCGCGTGGAAGAGTTCACCCTCAAGATTGGCAATGGATACCCATGAATAGTCCACCATATCCATCACCACCTCAATTAACACATAACTAACAACTAATGGGTGCTCATGTAGGCTACATGGGGTTTAAAATGAGAAAAGATCTATTTTTAGTTATGATACCTATACTCTTCATTAATCTTTACTTTAGACCCTATCTTATATATTGATTCACTTTGTCACATACACTTTTCTTCCGTATCTCACTTTATCTTAATATTTTATATTGTCCTATTTTAACACATACATTGTTTCCTAATGTCCTACTTTACCCTATTTTCTCAAATAAGTTAAAAATAGCCGTTAATTGTACTAACATGGCATGGACAATTTAGCCTTTTCAACTATGTTAGTGCGAACAATGAGTGCACGGATGTGGGTTAAACTCAAACTAGGGTTTCATGTCTTCAGATTAAGAAAAAGAAATAAGAGGAAAGCAATAGAGGTAGAAATTCTCCCTAAGAATCTTTGCAAAAGGATCCGAAAACATTGAAATTGATTCGCAAATCTTGAAATGCAACCTTCTCTTCTTATACTTTAGCCTTCTCTTCTGATGTTTTATTATTTTAATCTGGAGAAATCAAGCTTAGTTTGAGTTTAACCCATCTCTCATTTGTTGGAGTGTACCCAAAAAGCAATTGACGTGGCAACACGTAATTGGTTATTCATGGCAACCCAATGTCTAGTCATCAATGAAAAAGGCAAATGAGCAAATTCGTCAATCGAGCACGTGACCTAATAGCGGATTAGGAAAGTTCCTTGTTGATTAGGACGAGACCAAGGAATACCTTGAATTGTAGGAATAGTATTGCAAATAAGTTCCAATCCTAAGATACGTACCCTACAGATCTTAAGTCTTAAACTATGTTCCTAGCCATCGGATGATTGAAAAGACTATTGAACGTTCCCAAATGCCGGTTTGTGTCGTATTTAGTAGTAAGTCTTAGACTAAGCATGTAGTGACATGGAATAGACATAAAGGCAACTATAAGATTGTGTTCACTGAACATTGACCAACCATAGAATTGTATAATTGGAAGGTTATCTACTTGTCAATTGTATCACAATTCTGAGTTGTGGATGCAACTAGTTCTTATACCTTGGGCATCACTAGTTATCTCATGTTAGTAAATGTGATATTTGGCCTCATCTTGAAGCTCTCAAACGATAACGGACCCTTTAGTGTGAGAATCAGGATCATATGCATTAATATGGAATATGTGAATGCACAACAAGGAATTTGCCACCTCCTCTGTAATCATGAAGGAAGATATTGTTGAAGCCTCTCAACAATCTATCACCAGAAATCTTTGGTCAAAACAACGTACATGATTCTATGAAGAGTTTGACAATAGTTCCATACTTTATAATATATGATCGGAATATAATAGACTATGGAACATAATTGCATTGTAACATAACTAAGGTGCTAAATATTTGTTGTATAAATTCAAACATATTCTAACTAATCTAGGTAGTCGATAATCACCGCTAGATGTTACTATTCGGTTTGTGGATATTCCTACAAGGTTGAATTAGAATGATTTCTAATTATGTAAAATTAGATTATTAGATTAACCAAATTATCCATTGGTCACATACAATATCATGATATTGAAAGATAAAATTGGTGGATACTGAATTTAATATAATTTGTTTATATTAAATGTTTTATTTTATATTTGATTAATTGGTTGGAACTTCTCTATTTATATTAGTTGTTTGAACTAAAATAAAATAAGGAATCATTCTAAAACATTACCAAATTAATTAAATAAATAAAATATGAGCGAAGCGGGCTAAAGCTTAGTGGCAAAGGGAGGTGCGTCAAGCCCAAGAAAAGGTCTCCTAGGGCTTGCGCACACATGCGGTGTTTAGGAAGAGTGTATATGGTAAAGTGGAACACGAATGAATAGTGCATATGGTAAAGTGAGACAATGTAGAATAAAGTGTTGAGAATCAATCTCACATTGATGAGAGGAGAGACATTGCATGTGCTTCTAAATAGTTAGGCTAGTCTTCATATTGCCAACTGGTTTTATGGTGGAACCTCAACTTTTTCATGGTATCAAAGCAGGTTATCCCACGTGTGAAGCCCAATTGCCATGCATGCTCCATGTCACCTGAGTTGTGTTGTCCACGTGTTAGGTTTGAAAATTCGCCACACGTGAGGGAGCGTGTTGTGAATGAATTCCACATTGGTGAGAGGAGGGACCTTGCATGTACTTATAAATAGTTGGGCTACTTCTAATATTGTCAACTGATTTTATAGTGGAACCTCAACTTCTTCGTGAAGGCGGTAAAGTGAGATTTGGTAAAGAATACAAGTCTTATGGATTATAAGTTCAATATATGTACATGATAGTCGAGAACTTTTTATATAGGTGAAGAAAAGCTGCTAGACCGTAATATTAAACGACTTTTTATGTAATTTTAAAATAGCATTTTGAAAAACCCTAATCATGAATCCATGTAAAAAAAAAAAAAAGGTTATAGCACTAGAGTGAAGTGCTGATTTAGTCTCTGAACTATCACGTTAGTGAAAATTAGGTTTATGAATTATTTTTTTGATAAAATAAGTCCCTAAATTCATTAAAAGTTGCTAATTTCATCCGTACTATTATATTCAAAGCTATCCAATTTTTCGTCAACTTAAGTCACTTGACACACTTTAGAGTGTAATACCGGCATTTTCTCGGCTATAAACCTTTAACATTTCATATAGGTTGCAAATCTAACGTTTAATTTACGCTTCGAAGTTAACTTACACTATTTCTTATGAAAACCACTAATTTATCCTCCAAAGTTAACTGTATACATTATTTCTTTATAAAAAACTATTAATCTATCCTTTAATGTGTATCACATGCAAGTAACGTAACTTAAATTGACAGAAAATTGAATATAGTAGCTTCAAATAAAATATCATGCATGTAATTAACAGATTTTTATAATTTAATGCCTGCTTTTTCTGGAAAATAAAAATAGTTTAGGAATCTAATTTTTTACAAAGGTGATAATTTAAAGGCTAAATTCACAGTACATCATATCACTATTCACTAGGATCGGGTCTTGCTTCGAAAGTCGTTTCAATTCATCCAAATAAAAACAAGGGGGAGAGCGTCTACCCGGGCCTTTCCATCACTCTCAACTCTCAACTCTCAAGAAACAAAATCGCCGGAGGACGACGGCGATCGGGACTTGCCTTTGATTTTGACGAAGGCCCACTACTCCTACCAAGTAGCAGAGCTCGATAGCAGTTTCGGGTAAGTCTCAGTTGCCCACTACATATAATTTTGCTTCAATTTGTTCATCTTCTTCCAGATTTCTCTGCATTTTTTTGAAGCCCAATGATTTAAAAATAAAATTTATGTGTAAATTGATCAGTGTGGGTGTGGACACCCAATTAGTTGCAGTTTCCGCGTCGTAAAGGCTAAAGCATCTTTCTTTTAACCACCCAACTGTTTATTTTCACCAAATTTACAGTTTCTTCTCTGTGCTGTGAAATAGTTTGCGGGTTGGTGTTAACTGGTAAAGATTTTACTTTTCCTGTTTTAGTAACTGTAATGTTAATGATGTTGGTTGAAAGCAATTCCAAAGATTGGGACTGTTTATAGAGTGTTTTGAAGTTTCCTGATTGCTGGGGGAAAAAAAAAACCATGCTTAAGGTAAATTGATTAATTTCTGAAAAAAAATGGTTGATTTTATAATTTTACATGTGTGTGTGTGTGTATCCAGCTTTAATACCACATCCGTGCACTGACAGTTGAAAACTAGCTTGAATTCTAATTGGAGTTGTTATTGACACTAAAAATTTCACAATGCACTCCCATCTAGTGAAAGAAAATAATAGAGTGAGCTAGGGAGGAGTGCTAATAACAATTCCCAACTTCTAAATACATTAACATTGTAAATTCAGGCCAGTGGGGCCTTTTTACAGCCAATATAAATTTTACTATGCAATCGTGGCATTTTTCTACTGAATAAAGCTAAAGACTTTCTTGTAAGAATTTTATTAGGGATGGAAAACTTTTGCAATGTCCGGATGAGTCTGGTCATGATGATGGCGGTGAGGATTATCATTTAATTTTAGTGAAACTGCACTGATCGTAGCAGAATACAGTGCTTTAGTTTTAGTTTGAAGTTTTGAACCTTGCTTTGTGTGAGTTACCTTCTGTGTTTAACCATAGACTTTGCTGGAACCATTTCTGACTCTTTTTCTTCCTTCTTGATTACAGATAAATTTAGAAGTTACATGAGTGGCATCAGACAAAGGACCCTTGGGAGTGGGGGTCAACATGTTCTGGACTATCTAAAACGAATGCAGGCAGACAATCCTACTTTCTTTTATGCAGTTCAGGGTGATAGCGATCACTCTAGTGGTAATATATTTTGGGTGGACGCAACAGCCAGGTTGAACTATACATATTTTGGAGATGCCGTTATATTTGACACTTCATACAGGACAAACCGCTATAGGGTACCATTTGCCTCATTCTCTGGATTTAATCATCATGGCCAGCCGGTGTCGTTTGGCTGTGCATTAATTCTCAATGAGTCTGAGTCTTCCTTCGTATGGCTATTTCAAACTTGGCTTCATGCAATGGCTGGACGCCTCCCTGTCTCTTTCACCACTGATCCAGATAGGCACATGCAAGTTGCAGTTGCGCAAGTTCTTCCTCAAACCCGCCATCGCTTCTGTAAGTGGGCCATATTTAAAGAAACGCAAGAGAAGCTGGATCAGTTGTATCATTCTCATCCTACTTTCGAAACTGAATTTAAGAATTGCATCAATGAGAGCGAGACAATTGATGAGTTTGAGTCACATTGGCAATCCTTGCTTGGAAGATACTACATCATGGATAATGAGTGGCTTCAGTCCATGTACAATGCCAGGCAACAGTGGGTCCCAGTTTACATGAAGGACACCTTTTTTGGAGAGTTTGCTGTAAATGAGGGAAGTGAAAGGTTAGCCTTGTTTTTTCATGGGTTTGTGAATGCAGCCACTACCATGCAGGTTTTGCTTAAGCAGTATGAGAAAGCTTTAGTTAGTTGGCATGAGATGGAACTAAAAGCAGATTATGACACTACTAATACCATGCCAGTTCTGAAGACACCGTCTCCTATGGAAAAACAAGCTGCAAACCTCTATACAAGGAGAGTATTTAAGAAGTTCCAGGAGGAGTTGGTTGAGACCATGGCAAATCCTGCAACCAAAATTAATGACTCAGGAACTGTTGCCACCTATCGAGTGGCCAAATTTGGGGAAGACCACAAGGCACATGCTGTTAGCTTCAATTCCTTTGAGATGAAAGCTAGTTGTAGTTGTCAAATGTTTGAATATTCGGGGATAATCTGTAGGCACATACTAGCAGTTTTTAGAGCAAAGAATGTTCTAACACTTCCTCCTCAATATGTATTGAAGCGATGGACAAGAAATGCTAAGAGTGGAGCTGGAGGAGCTATGCTGGATGAACGTGCTTCTGAATCACCAAGGAATTCTCGAGAATCGATAACAGTTGGGTATAACAATTTACGTCAGGAAGCAATCAAATATGTAGAAGAGGGAGCAAAATCTATCCACATATACAATGTAGCAATGAATGCTCTACAGGAAGCTGCTAAGAAAGTTGCTGCTACAAAGAATAAAGGTTCTGGAGCTACACAGGGTAGTTCGCTGGCCAATGGAGGTAGCCAAGAAATTCATGCGACTGAAGCAAATGAAATGGCAGGGTATCAACCAACGGTAAATCTTGCACTTCAAAATCTGGTCTGATTGTTGTTGTTGGTGTTGTTCTGGTTATAATTATTGTTTTTTATGAGAATATCTTCCTCCCTCTCACACACACCGGGGTCATTTGGGAAGTTTCTGAACATGGAATAGAATAATGAGAAGTGCAAAATCTTGTATTGCCACTCAGGATTCTGGAAATTGTGGATATATTTTCTGAATTATTTGCTTATTCAGTAGCTTAGGTGCATGTAGGTTTTGAACTCTACAAATCAAGAAATAATGCATCTTTGCATGTTCCCTGGTTACAAACTTCCAAACGTGGCAATTCATCATGTTGATTCATGTCTGTAGCCAGAGAGGCCCAGATTTGAATTATGATACTTAGAATCTGATCATGACATATATGCTGCTTGTGTTTTCAGTGTTTACTTGTTGTTTTCATCCTTTACTCGTTATTTTCATCAGGATGAGAAGGAAAAGAAAATCCGTGAATTGTCTGCTGAGTTGGAGAACACCAACCAACGCTGTGAAGTTTATCGAGCAAATCTGCTTGCTGTTCTACGAGATATGGAAGAGCAGAAGATGAAGCTTTCAGTGAAGGTTCAAAGTGCAAGGCTAAGTATGAAGGAGTGACTGCTATTTGCAGGTGAAGCCCTGCCATTCTGTCTTCCCTTCTCAAGACCCTGCTGTTTCAGCCACTGTCATCTTTTTATCCATCCGGCCTGCCAGGAGTCACTTGGAGAGAGCGGAAAGATGGGTTTAGAGGCCGGTTGCCCTCGGATGTGGGCAGTAGTTGTATCCGAAACTTTCTCTTACTCTTGCACCCTAGAATTGTTTGAGTATTGTTGAGATTTCGTTGGATGGACCGTGCACCGAAGATCTGCCATTAGCTGCGGGAAAAGATCATTCATTAACATGTTAGCCACGGGTTAGCATCCTCTAATGTCAATGCCAGGAAGCTGTAACATTAGGTCTTAACTGTCTTTAGTCATTTGTGACAGTTCTTAAATTCTTGCTTTATTTTGATTTTGGATAATTAATCATCCACTTTAAATTGAACTTTGAAACGCTTTTTCTTTTTGTACTGTTTTCAATTTAAACCTTCCACGATAGTAGAGAGACGAACAAACAAATGGAGAAAATAAAGTTGAAAAACGAATAAAGAGAATTTGGAATTAAAAAAAAATGAAAGTGAAAGGTGGAAAGCTAGAAGCGAGGCTTACATAACACAACAAGAAATTCCGTGCACTGCTGCCTTTAGTTAGCAAGTGGCGATGTTTGAGTTTGAGTCGATTGCTTCCTAGTTAACCATTTTATTCGAGTGTTGAATCATTCTGATTTTTGACTTCCTTTGCGTTTACTAACAATTATTAAAAAAAAGTATGTTAGTCTTGTATCATTAGTGTTTGAAATTTCTTCGACACGATCAATATTTCCATGTTGATATTTTCGTGTTAAAAACTGAAAATCAGAGAAAGATATGAAAAGGAGGGTGAAGTCTAAACTTCCCTTCATATTGAAGAAACTCTTGAATTTCAACTAAAATCGGTAGATTTCGTCGTTATTTTCTATACATAGGTTATATATCGTAGAAATTCTTATATTTCGTCTAAACCAGTGTTTGACATTACCTAAAGTTTCATGTTAAATTTTCGTCATTTCCATGGAAAGCAACCAATATCGATTATATTGATATATCCATCGATATTTTTGCAAATATGCATATCAATATTTTTACCAATATTTTAAACACTTCATGTTAATACCTATAAATATTCAAACACTAGGTGCTGCGAGGCATATTAGATTGGATTTTGAACATTGAAAATGAAATTTGAGTTTGATAACTTTTGTAAGTGCTTACTTAATTGTAAGTAAGAAATTTTAGATTTAGAATATCAAAAATGACGAGCTCAGCTTCAACTTTTACAAATGTTCACAAGACCCGTAACTATGTAAATCACAGTGGCCACGCCACCTGTGACAGTTGTTCTACTTGTCCACATTTCTTCTGCTTCTTTTTGCTTTGTCTTTATAAAGATAAAAATAAAGAAGCTTCCATAGAAATCCATGCTTCTGCTTCTTTTGAAGTTTCTGAAAGAAAGAGCATTCCTTGATACTCTAGAATTATTATCCCCCAAGTGAAAAACCACTTACAAGTTTCCTATTCTCAGGCACCAATTTTTAAATCTTTAAGTTGAAGATAAATCACAGTTTGATGTGTGTGCATATTTTGTCTTTTAACCGTTTTAACGAACTACTTTATATATGTGTCAGGCTGTGATTTAATGATAAAGAGAAAAGATTCTTTACATGTAAGGAGTTGATGAGTGTTCTTATAATAATATTGTTAGGGTTTTAAGTCAAAAAACTCCATTACTAGGAATGCTAATCGTAATCCAATAATTTAGGCAATAGCCAAAACAGCATCCTTCCATAGAACCAGATTCCAAAGGGAATGCTTTCTTTGATCCCTCCCTCTAAGTCCCAACTCACCCTAATTATTTGATCAAGGTGACCAATTTGTTATTCTCCACTTGTGAAATTTAAGCAAAGAATCTTTACCTTAGCCACAAGACTGTTGAAAACCCCCTTTTAATCTCCATATAAGCATCCCTAACATAGAAACTTGAGATTTACCAAGAAAATTTTGGGGGGAAGACCATGAAGATTGACAAGGAAATCTCTCATCCCATCCACCTGAAACACAAGCTCAAGATTGAATACACCGAAATCCCGTTCTACTGCGACGGGTGCAAAGAAGCCGGAATTGGCCTCAAATACAAGTGCCAGCAATGTGAATTTGATTTGCACAAGGCATGCGCTGTGGCTTCTCCAACCATCACCCATCCCTTCTACAACAAATGTGAGTTTCAGTTTCTTTACAGCCCGCCGGGCGCTGCAAGGAGAGTGTGTGATGCGTGTAGGAAGGATGTTGTAGGGTTTGTGTACCACTGCAGGAGGTGTGGTTTTGATCTGCACCCTTGTTGCGCAAACCTCCCACAAGTCCTGGATGACGGGGAGCGCAACTTTTACTTGTACCTCAAGTTATCGAGCGCTTGTCACCAGTGTGGAGGCAAGGGGCATGGTTGGTGTTATAGGTCAGAATGCAAGACGTATAATCTTCATGTGTCATGTGTGAAGGAGCTGCTTGTGGAGAGCTGGCAAGCCAAGTATCTCAACGTGGACAAGAACAAGGTTAGGGAAATGCAGACGAGGATCCCCAGCCTGAAGGGGACGCTGAAAAGCCACCACAGCGGAGGGAGAGGAGGGAAGGTAAGAAAGTGTTGCGAGATAGCTGGTGGCGCTGTTCGCGTCATTATCTCTGCCATACTCGGAGATCCTACTGCCCTAATAGGCGCCGCTGTTGGCGGTTTCATATCCAAATAGAAAAGTGCAGAAAATGGAAAACAAGTACATGTTTAGTATGTCACCTAACATGTTATATCTGTTCGTCATGTTGTTCTGTTTTACTTTTACTTTGTTACATGTTAAGTTTACGTACTGTGTGAATGATTAGGACTGTGTCCTCCAAATCTGCATATTTCATTATCCGTGAAAAATAAAAACGTATATTTAGATTTGAATTGTTTTTATCTTTACACAAGCGACATTTTATACTAAATTCGTCTAAATCAGGATAGAGATTAAACATAGGTGCAGAAGAGAGAGCATATCGCTCTAGCCAACTTGATTAATTTCAGGTCTGCGAATTATCTTTTCTTAGTCCAATATATTAACGTCCGGAACTAAAAAAGGGAGCTTGAAAAGTTTGAAAGGACTCCTATATTCAAGTGACAATAGTGATATTAGAGGAGCATGAATTAAACATAGAAGTTCGATTGAGGGATGAATATTCTTAATCACTTTAAACCACTGTTCTAAAAATCCCCGTCTAGCGTTGCCTAAGCACGAGGTGGATGAGCACCGCCCCGATTAATGCATAGGCATTTGAAAACTAAGAAAGGGCGCCTAGACTGCTTAGGCATCCGCCCAGACTTGCCTAGGCATCTGCCTATGTTGTGAATCACTTAGATAGAAAATAGATAACTTTCCTTTTGCATTTTATTGTTTCCAATAAATTGTAAGAGACTTATTGAACACTTAAATAAACACACATTATATGTTTGCTCCCCATGTTTTCATTATGTTCCAATACTTCATAATATATATGTCATTCTATTTTCATAATTATTATATATATTTTAAGTATAAATAGACACTTATTTACATGAAATACAATAGATTTACTTAAATTCGTCTAGTCAGGCCTAGGCGCTAGGTCCCAGCTCGCTGCCGGACTAGCGCTAAACGTCTTTTAGAACCTTGCTTTAAATTACACATCTGATCTTGGTTGTTTAACATTGTTAAATCTAGAAAAAACTCGCTCGTTCGAACCATATTGAATGCCAAATTTTTCCTTACTTTGGAATTTTAAAGCTCGTTAGTTTCCTTGTGAAATTCTTTGACGCCTTATGCAGTGACTTCTTCTGGTTCTAATTCGAGAGGAAACGGTACTCATGTTGCTCAGAAGTTTCCTACAAATACAAAAGAAGACCAAAAATGTTTTGGGCTTTTAGGTATATGTCATTCTATTTTCTAGTTTATGATGAAAATATATTTTTAGTATAAACAGACACTTATTTACACGAAATACAATAAATTTACTTAAATCCGTCTAGTCCGCGCCTAGGCACTAGATCTCAGCTCGCCGCCCGACTAGTGTCTAGCATCTTTTAGAACCTTGCCTTAAACTACACGTCTGATCTTGGTTGTTTAACATTGTTAAATTTAGAAAAACGCGCTCGTTCGGACCATGTTGAATGCCAAATTTTTCCTTACTTCAGAATTTTAAACCTTGTTAGTTTCATTGTGAAATTCCTTGATGTCTTCTACAGTGACTTCTTCTGGTTCTAATTCGAGAGGAAACGGTACTCATGTTGCTCAAAAGTTTCCTACAGATACAAAAGAAGACCAAAAATGTTTTGGGCTTTTAGGTATATGTCATTATATTTTCTAGTTCATGATGAAATTATATATATTTTAAGTATAAACAGACACTTATTTACACGAAATACAATAAATTTACGTAAATCCGTCTAGTCGAGCCTAGGCGCTAGGTCCCAGCTCACCGCCCGACTAGCATCTAACGTCTTTTAGAACCTTGCTTTAAACTACACGTCTGATCTTGGTTGTTTAACATTGTTAAATCTAGAAAAACTCGCTCGTTTGGACCATGTTGAATGCCAAATTTTTCCTTGTTTCAGAATTTTAAACCTTGCTAGTTTCCTTGTGAAATTCCTTGACGCCTTATGCAGTGACTTCTTCTAGTTCTAATTCGAGAGGAAACGGTACTCATGTTCTCCAAAAGTTTCCTACAAATACAAAAGAAGACCAAAAACGTTTTGGGCTTTCAGGTATATATCATTCTATTTTCTAGTTTATGATAAAATTATATATATTTTAAATATAAACATACACTTATTTACATGAAATACAATGGATTTATTTAAATCCGTCTAGTCCACGCCTAGGTGCTAGGTCCCAGCTCGCCGTCCGATTAGCGCCTAGCGTTTTTTAGAACCTTGCTTTAAACTAGACGTTTGATCTTGGTTGTTTAACATTGTTAAATCTAGAAAAACTCGCTCGTTCGGCCCATGTTGAATACCAAATATTTCCTTACTTCAGAATTTTAAACCTCGTTAGTTTCCTTGTGAAAATCCTTGACGCCTTCTGCAGTGACTTCTTCTGGTTCTATTTTGAGATGAAACGGTACTCATGGTGCTGAGAAGTTTCCTGCAAATACAAAAGAAGACCAAAATAGAAACATTGTACGATGAAGATAAGGTTAAACTCCAGTTTAGATGGAAAATTGAAATTCCCTTTTCTTTAATTTTGGTAATTTCCTATCAGATTCCTGGGTCAACAAATGTATGTATATAAGTACATACATGCTACGATGTACGGAAGTAGAAAGCAAAGAAAAAAGCATTTAATGTGCATCCGTTTCCTCTCGGCTTTCGTTAGTTCAATCTTCCTGTTACCGCGCCCGATTTGTA